GTATTGCAACCCTAAATCAGTTTCTCTATCTCTTAATATTCACTGTTGCTCTATGGTTCCCTGTTCATTAATTGTCTTCTTTAAGATTTAAACCAAGTCGTAAGTTTGTTCTTGCCTGGTCACCTGATAATGTATTTTACTTCTTCATCAGTGATTGGGAAACCCTTCAAAACATTTCCAGATCATTACTCAGGGCTCTTCCTGCCCTGCAGTTTCAAGCTTGATTGTGTCTGTTGCAAGTTTGTTGCATTGTACAGTGTCTGTTGCTTGTTTGTTGCATTGCACAAGCTTGTGTCTGTTACTTGTTTGTTGCATTGCACAGTTGAATTCATGAAGATTAATAGCAGTACTCCCATGGGATTGTTTATTCCCTGTTACATCCCACAGTGGGGTGACGTGGAAGGCTGAGTGGGATCTGTGAGGTGAAAAGGAAACAGAGGGACAGAGAGGGAGCACACACCAAAGCTGGAGGCATGAAAGTGCTTATGATGGAGAGCAGATCAAAAGCTCAGGGTAGTTGGAGTAGAAACAATGTTGGGAGGGTGGGACAGCTGGGCTGTTAGGGACCTTGTAGGCCACTTTACTCAGTCTGTTGGAGACACAGTTTCTTTTTCTATTGTATTGGGGATAGTAGCTGCCTCCAGGGCTGTAATAAAAAGGAAAGAAAGGCAATGCTGTGAAAGCATTAAGTCCAAGTTTGACACAGAGTTGCCAAATGAATGTGTTTTCTTTTCTACTTTCCTTCTTAGAGTTTTGACTTTATGATATAAGCAGGGGCAATGTTGAAAAAAAAATTTTTTTTTAATGGTAATTTTATTTGTTTATTTATTTTTTCATTTTTTTTTTTTTTGGAGGAAGGGAGGAAGGGAGGAAGGCAGGAAGGGAGGAAAGGAGGAAAGGAGGAAGGGAGGGAGGGAGGGAGGGAGAAAAAGGAAGGAAGAAAATCAGGCAATGAGAGAGACATTGCCGACCTGGATCTAGAGGTCTACAAGTTGATTTCTTTTTTCTTTTTTCAGAGAAGGAAAGAAAAACAAGGAGTGAAGGAAAGTAAGAAAGAGGAAGAAAAAGTGGGAGAGAGAATGGAAATATTGCTTTATTCTAAAAAAAATGGATATTAATAATGGCCAATCAATATTTCACTTAAACCTATGAGTAGGTGTGATGTGGTATTGACAAGAATGTATATTTTGTGTATTTGAAGTGGAGAGCTCTATAAATATTTATTAAGTTTACTTGTTCTGGACCTGAGTTCGAGTCCTTGATATCCTTATTAATTTTCTGTCTCATTGAGTCTAAGTCTCCATGTATCTGGGTGTTAGGATCGTTAGCTCTTGTTGTTGCATTGATCCTTTTACCACTATATCTTTGTTGCTTTAAAATCTATTTTATCAGATGCAAGAATTGCAACTCCTGCTTTTTATTTATTTATTTATTTTTGCTCTCCATTTGGTTGGTAAATCTTTCTCCATCCGTTTGTTTTGAGTCTTTGTGTATCCTTGCATGTGACACAGGTCTGAATGTAACATGCCGCTGGGTTTTGGCTGTGTCTTTTGATTGGGGGATTTAGTCGATTTAAATTTAGGGTTACTGCCATTTGATGTTAACTGGCTGTTTTATCCATTCGTTGATGTAAATTCTTCTTTGTTGATGCTCTTTACTTTTTGGTATATTTTTAGAAAGGCTAATACTGGTTGTTTCTTTCTATGTGTAATGCTTCTTTCAGAAGCTCTTGTAAAGCAGGCCTGGTGGTAATAAAATCTCTGAGTACTTGCTTGTTCATAAAAGATTTTATTTTTCCTTCAGTTGTGAAGCTTAGTTTGGCTGGATATGAAATTCTGGGCTAAAAATTCTGATCTTTAAGGATGTTGAATATTGGCACCCACTCTCTTCTGGCTTGTAGAGTTTCTGCTGAGAGATCTGCTGTAAGTCTGATAGGCTTGCCTTTGTGGGTAACCTGACCTTTCTCTCTGGCTGCCCTTAGTATTTTCTCCTTCGTTTCAACCCTGGTGAATCTAACGATTATGTGCCTTGGGGTTGCTCTTCTTAAGGAATATCTTTGTGGTGTTCTCTGTATTACCTGGGGTTGAATCTTGTCCTGCTTTGCTAGTTTAGGAAAATTTTCCTGAATAATATCCTGAAGAATATTTTCCAGCTTGGATTCATTCTCTCTGTCGCATTCAGGTACATCTCTCAAAACGTAAATTTGGTCTTTTCACATAGTCCCACATTTCTTGGAGACTTTGCTCATTCCTTTTTATCCTTTTTTCTCTAATCTTCTCATTTTTATTTCATTAAGTTGGACTTCAACCTCTGATATCCTTTCTTCTGCTTGAACAATTCGAGTGTTTAAACCTGTGCATACTTCTCGGAGTTCCTGTAATGTATTCTTCAGTTCCATTAATTCACTTATATTTCCCTCTAAGTTGTCTATTCTCATTAGGATTTCATCAAACCTTTTTTCAAAGTTCTTAGTTTCTTTACATTGGGCTACAACATGTTCTTTTAACTCACAGAAGTTTCTTATTATTCATCTTCTGGGATGCGCTCGTTCTCCATCAAGCCTTGTTCCCTTGTTGGTGAGGAACTGTGATCCTCTTTAGAGGGAGAGGCATTCTGATTTTGAGTATTCTCAGCCTTTTTATGCTGGTTTCTTCCCATCATTGTAAATTTATCTACCTGTCATCTTTGTAATTACCAACTTTCAAATTAGGTCTCTGAGTGGACGTCCAAATTGTTAATTCCCAGGGCCGAAATATGAGCGACCCACTGCGCCGGCCAAAACAGCAGCGTTAAGACTGATGGTGCTTTCCTGCCTGGGAATCTCCAGTCTGGCTTCCTTCTTGAGTCCGTAATAGGTGACTCTGCCTTCCTGGAGCTCCAAACCTCGGTCAGAAGGGGAACCAGTCCCGTTTACTCTGCACCAAGAGCTGCCGCGCTGAGGTGCTGGCAAAACCGCTGCGCCAGCCACAAGAGTCTTGCTGGCGACCCATGCGGCTCCTCCCAAACCTCGGTCAGAAGGGGGACCAATCCCGTTTACTCTGCACCACGAGCTACTGCATCGAGGTGCCGGCAAAACCGCTGCACCAGCCCCAAGAGTTGTGCTGGCAACCCGTGTGACTTCTCCACTGGGAATCTTCTGCTCCGTAAGCGACCAAATTTTGTCTGAAAGTGTGGCGTCCTCTCATTCTCTGAGCTTTAACTGGGAGCTGCAATCCCGAGATGTTAGCGATCAGCCATCTTGGATCGTTCCCAATCTGTTCAAAATATTTAACCACTAGTACAACCCAGGTACCACCCAGTCAAAGTAGATGTGGGCCATAAACAATCAGCCTTGGAGTGTACGTGGGTACCTGCTGCCGATTGCTCCTGTCTGACAGCAATAAAGAGCCATCAGAGATGGCACATTTGAGTGCTGTCAGATGTGTTAGAAAAATGGCTTTGAGGCCGGGCGCGGTGGCTCACGCCTGTAATCCCAGCACTTTGGGAGGCCGAGGTGGGTGGATCACAAGGTCAAGAGATTGAGACCATCCTGGTCAACATGGTGAAACCCCGTCTCCACTAAAAATACAAAAAATTAGCTGGGCGTGGTGGCGCGTGCCTGTAATCCCAGCTACTCAGGAGGCTGAGGCAGAAGAATTGCCTGAACCCAGGAGGCGGAGGTTGCGGTGAGCCGAGATCGCGCCATTGCACTCCAGCCTGGGTAACAAGAGTAAAACTCCGTCTCAAAAAAAAAAAAAAAAAAAAAAAAAAAAAAATGGCTTTGAGTGTTACCGCTCTTGTAGATTTTTTTTTTTTAAGACAGGATATGCCTTTGTCACCCAGGCTGGAGGGCAGTTGTGCAATCCACGATCATAGCTCACTGTAACCTCAACCTCCTGCCTCAAGCTGTCCTCCATCTGGGCCTCCCAAAGTGCTGGGATTACAGGCATGAGCTGTCGCACCTTCTTTTAGAATTTGTTTAGCAGGTTTTCTGGCTTTTACCAGAAAACTTTTCACGAACAAAGAAAAAGGGCTCTGGCTACAGAGCAGGGGGTTCATACTGGTGTAGGAAGCACTGGCAGGGAGAGGCCTGTTTGAAGGCTAGACATTACCTAAGGACCCTGATAAAGAACATCTGGCATTAGTGCCATTCAGTCTGAAAAGTCTGTGAAGTTCCCAACTCGTCTATTAATACCTGAGAGACTTCTTTTTGGGGATCAAGTGCCCGCAACTAGAATGAAGTACGGAAGCAGAAATATCCAGCCAGGCACACTGGCCTCACGCCTGCAATCCCAGCACTTTGGAGGCCAAGGAGAGCATATCTCTAGAACCCAGGAGTTTGAGACCAGCAACGTGGTGAAACCCTGTCTCTCCAAAAAATACAGAAATTAGCCAGGCATGGTGGTGCATGCCTGTAGTCCCAGCTACTCAGGAGGCTGAGGTGGGAGGATCACTTGAGCCCAGGAGGTTGAAGCTGCAGTGAGCTGAGATTGTGCCACTGCACTCCAGCCTAGTCAACACAGTGAGACAAAAAAAAAAAAAAGAAAGAAAAAGAAAAAGAAAGCAAAAATCCAGCAACCCAGGGAAAGGGTAGGTCCTTGGTATTTATTGTCCAGGATTTTCTCCACATCTAGTTTGTGATAATCTACCTTATACCCAAAGAAGCTAATTTTACTTCTATTTGTGGATTTATTATTATTATTATGTGGCTGGCCTCATGCTCCCCGAAAGAAACCTGAGCAGAAGGGAAGGGAAGTAACATGCAAAGTAGTTTATGAGTTATCTCTTTTGACCTCATTCAATCTTGGGAGTTAGGTATCATGTGGAAGTTGAGGCTTTGGTCATTGACTGATTCCTCAACAAGTAGTAGGAGGTTTCTAGTCTATGACTATCTTGTTGGGAAGTCTGTGCTCTTTTCTCTGCCTCTCTGTGAATGTGGAATCCTTCTCTTCAGTTTAAGCTTCCAGGACACTTACATTTCCCACTCATTCCTCCAGTCACCAGACCCACGTTCAAGAAAATTTGTAAGGTATGTTTTTATTTTACAAAAAAAAAAAAAAAAAAAGTGACATGCAATACCCATCCCCTAACAAACTATTAATGCTTGGAATACAGAGTAAAAAGGAAATCCGACCAGTCCTGAAGAGACAAAAATTCAATTTCACAAAGCTGAAAAAATCTATTACAAAGTCTCTGTTGTATAAATATAGCCAGTCTTATCTTTAATGTAGTCAGACAAAAAAAAGTTTGTTGGCATAAAAAAAAAAATCCCTGCTGCTTGAATACACCACAATCTTCATTTGTATTCCCAGCCAGATACAGTGATGACTATGGGATGAGAGTTACTGCATGTTCCAGGACTCAGAGTAACCAAATGAGATTTAAACATTTTATTGCACTCCCTCTAGCAACAGCCTGGACAGACCACTACAGCCCTAGGTCAAGGACTAATGCCTTTGTTCAGGGAAAACTGAACATGTAGGCCAGATGCGGTGGCTCATGCCTGTAATCCCAGCACTTTGAGAGGCCGAGGTGGGTGGATCACTTGAGCCCAGGAGTTCGAGACCAGCATAGCCAACATGGTGAAACCCTGTCTCTACTAAAACCACAAAAATTAGTTGGGTGTGGCGGCACACACTTGTAATCTCAGCTACTGGGGAGGCTGAGGAGGGAGAATCACTTGAACCCAGGATGGGGAGGCTGCAGTGAGCTGAGATCATGCCACTGCACTCCAGCCTGGGCAACAGAGCAAGATTCTGTCTCAAAAAAAAAAAAAAGAAAGAAAGAAAAGGAAATTAAACATGTCTTTACTCAAATGGGTGCACAACTCTGAGTATGCTAAAAGCCATTGAATCCTAGGTTTTAAAGTTGAATTGTTTGATATCTGAATTAGATCTCAATAAAGCTGTTAAAAATATATGACATGTTCAACTTGCTAGGGGAGCAACAGGTGACCCTGGTAGCATAAGTCAGGAGTTCCTGACAGGTCATGGGGCAGACCTGCAGAAGTCAGCGCAGTAAGGGGTAGTAAAAAGGAGCTCCTTGCCAGGTGTGGTGGCTCACACTCAAAATCCCAGCACTTTGGGAGGCTGAGGCGGGCAGATGACCTGAGGTCAGGAGTTCGAGACTAGCCTGGCCAGCATGGTGAAATCCCATCTCTACTAAAAATACAAAAATTAGCCAGGCATGGTGGCAGGCACCTGCAGTCCCAACTACTCGGGAGGCTGAGGCAGGAGAATCGCTTGAACTCAGGAGGTAGAGGTTGTGGTGAGCCAAGATTGTGTGATTGCACCACAGCCTGGGTGACAAGAGTGAAACTCTGTTAAAAAAAAAAAAAAAGGAACTACTTAAAGTATTATGGCTAAAATTAGTGGAGTCAGAATAAAGAAGTCAAAGGCATATGTACCTTTTCCTACCGTTTCCAAAATAGTCTAAGGGCTGTTTGTGGCCTTTGTCACAAAAGAAAGCTATCCAGTGAAATGGGACATGTCCAGGTATTGCGAGGCTACAGCAGATTTTAGGCCGGAGCTCAGGAGCTGCATATCTGCATCCACACAGGGAATTCCGACATGGACACACGTTCTGAGAGCCTGACTCCTACAGAAGGAGGGAGAATTTGGATACCTAAGGAAAAACTGGATTTATTAGACCAAAGGGACTTCCTGCCATCACCAACACTGTTGATGGCCAGAGGCCACAGCATGGCTCTTGCTCACACTGACTCTTAGAAAGCCATCGCCAGGGCAGCAGTGGCTAATCCAGATGAGCAACCCATTTTGTGGCAGACAAATCACTTGCAAATGCCATCCCCTTTCTGTATCTACCATCTGGTCACCAAATGGCCACTGGAGAAAGGGCACAGGCACAAATCATGGACAACTGGGGCTTGATCAAGGGAAGGTCACCCTATCCTGATAGTGATGGAGGCAGAATTACCAGTAGAAGAAAAAAGAAGGTAATTTAAAGTCTTGCTCTGGTTTTACCCATTCTAGGTACTTAAAAGTTCATTGATAATAGTTGGCATGAAATTGAGGGAAAATGGGCATAGAAGACACCCACTCTACTCGCCTTTCAGAAGGGATATTGCCAGAAATGGAACCAGAAGTCTCTTTAGTTTTTTAGCACAAAAAGCAAATGAGAATGAAAAAAAAGAGAAAGATAAGGGCTTGAAAGTAAGAAGTATCCCAGCTTGATAAACACCTTGTTTATTTTTTAATTTTTTAGAGACAGGGTCTCACTATGTTGCCCAGGCTGGTCTTAAACTCCTGAGCTCAAGTGACCATCCTGCCTTGGGATTCCAGGTGTGAGCCACCAAGCTGGGCCCAGTGAACATCTTTAAACTCTCCTAGCCTTCCTTCCTTGAAGACTGGTCTGATTCTGCTGCTGGGGTATGGGCCTGGGATTTAGTTCCATTTTCGGCCACCTAGACATTTATTGTGTGCCTGAGCAGATGGGTTAAGCTTAGAAGCAGACATCACGGCCACCTCAGGCCCCTGCCATTGTGGGCTGAATCCCCTAAAAGTGCCCCATTAAAATCTTGGCCTCCCTGTGCCCTTTTCAAATAAGAGACCCCTGTTCCATAATATGACCTAAACTTCGAGGATGGAGGCACTCAAGGATGGGGCATTTTCCTCACTGACAGGGGGTTGCCATCTCTGTGGGTAAATCCAATAGAGGATAAGGCTGGAACATCTGGGTTTGGGGCTGACCTGGATTCTTTTCAGGGTCATAGAGTGATAGTGGGAGGTTTAAAATAAATAGGGAGGATGCTTCCACCAAGGCTTTGGGCATTTTCTTGATGAACTTTTTTCATTGCCTTTTGTGAGTATATTTATCATTTACTTAAAACAAGGAATGAGCTACCTGGTTTAAAAAACAAACAAAAGGCTGAGTGCAGCGGCTTATGCCTGCAGTCCCAGTGCTTTGGGAGGCTGAGGCAAACAGACTACTTGAGCCCAGGAGTTGGAGACCAGCCTAGGCAACATGATGAAACCCTGTCTCTACAAAAAAAATATAAAAATTAGTGGGCCTGGTGGTGCACACTTGTAGTCCTAGCTACTTGGGAGGTTGAGGTGGGAGGATAACTTAAGCCCAAGAGATTTGAGGCTGCAGTGAACAGTGATTGCACCACTGCACTCCAGCCTAGGTGACAGAGAGAACATTTCAAAAACAAAACGGTTCCTTGCTGCCTCTCTTTGTGCTTTTCAAGCCTTTTCTTCCCCAAGCCTTACTCACCTTGTCCTCAGACTACCCATTGTACTCCCTTTGAGCTGATCCAGGAGAAATGGATCCAGGCTGCTATGAAGATTGTCCACTGGGGAACCCGGATACCCTCCTAACCCAGCTTCTCTCCTAAAGAGATCATGAGCTCTGGGCATGTGAAAAAATCTCCAAGCTGTTTCTGCCCTTAAGTTAGATTACAGGGAAGTAATTTCTATACTTAAGAAGACAGAAATATTTTCATTCCAGAGCTATAGGAATTATGAGCAGATGAAGCTATGGCTCTGGCGGATGGGCCATTTTGGGAAACAAGATACAAGCAAAGCAAGGGCATATTTACAAACAAAGTGTGGGTATATTTGGCAGGTTTGAGGCAAGCAGAAAGGAGAACTTGGGTACTCCATAAAAAAAAAGATCTGAAATTCAAACATCTTCTGATAAGGCCACAATGAAGAGATTTCCAGCAGTGGGTGTTGCAGGATGCTGGCACCCAAATTGCCGCAGGCTTGCAAAGGTGCTATGCAAGGTGAGGAGGCAGGCGAGGCAGGCGATGCCATTCATAGGTCCATGTCTGGGCCTCCTGAGGATGTCTTCAGCGGCACTGAGTCAAATCCATCAGGAGTCCTCTGAAAGAGAGATGGTGACAGGAGCTGGCTGCTGCACAGGGGCAAGTTTGGGGACAAAGGAGAGAAATGGAAAATCGGTGACAGAAGGAACCCTTATGAAATTCCTGTTTCAGTGGCTTTGTGGAAACACAGAAATGAGATACTCTCTATTCTGCTTGCTCCCTTCAGGGTCAGTTGGAGAATTAAAAAAAAAAAAACTTTTTCTTTTTAAAAAATGTTTTTGGCCAGACACAGTGGCTCACACCTGTAATCCCAACACTTTGGAAGGCCAAAGTGTGCAGATCACCTGAGGTCAGGAGTTCAAGACCAGCCTGGCCAACATGGTGAAACCCCATCTCTACTGAAAATACAAACAAAAAAAAATTAGCCAGGCGTGATGGCCTGCACCTGTAATCCCAGCTTCTAGGGAGGCTGAGTCAGGAGAAACACTTGAACCTGGGAGGCAGAGGTTGCAGGGAGCTGAGATGGTGTCACTGCACTCCAGCCTGGGACACAGAGCAAAACTCGGTCTAAATAAATAAATAAATAAATAAACAAACAAACAAACAAATACAAATTTAGAGACAGGCTCTCACTTTGTTGCCCAGGCTGGAGTGCAATGGCACAGTCATAGCTCACTGCAGCCTCCAACTCCTGGGCTCAAGTGATCCTTCCACCTCAGCCTCCCAAGTCGCTGAGGATACAGGCATGCTCCAACATACCCAGCTAACTGTTTTTTATTTTTTGTAGAGATAGGTTCTTGATATGTTGCCTAGGCTGATCTTGAACTCCTGGCCTCAAGATATCCTCCAGTCTGGGCATCCCAAAGTGCTGGGCATGAGTCAAAAATCTTTAAAATCCCCTGCTTTAGGCCGGGCATGGTGGCTCACACCTGTAATCCCAGCACTTTGGGAGTCCAAGGCAGGCAGATCACAAGGTCAAGAGATCGAGACCATCCTGGCCAACATGGTGAAATTCCCGTATCTACTAAAAAAATACAAAAATTAGTTGGGCGTGGTGGCACACGCCTGTAGTCTCAGCTACTCGGGAGGCTGAGGCAGGAGAATTGCTTGAACCTGGGAGGTGGAGGTTGCAGTGAGCCGAGATTGCACCACTGCACTCCAGCCTGGCGCCTGGCGACAGAGCAAAACTCTGTCTAAAAATAAAAAATCCCTTGCTTTGCGCCTTTTCTGAATTCTAAAAGTCCCAGGTAGACTCTAGAGTCCAATAGTAAACTGTTCTCCCACTGCTTTAAAAAAAAAAAAAAAAATCATAGTCTAAGGAGGCCAAGGGAGTCTCCCTAGCAGGTCAGCACAAAGGAAACAAGACTCAGCAATCTAAATACTCAAGTGGTGTCCTTTCTTCACCACCTGCCAATACCCTCCTTCCTCCTACTGCCCTCCCCACCCACTTCTATTGGGATGAACTGGTTCAGAGCAGTAGTCAGGTACAGGCACTGGCAGAGTGGGGCTGCAGAGGGCTGTGGCGCTGGAGGAGGTGATTGGATGCTCTCTGCTGGCCCCACGCCCAGTGACAGTGTTATCTGTATTGCGTTTATGAGCTTCATACTCACTCACCCACCCACACAGAGCCAACCCTCCCAGCTCAGAATTGCTCAGTGGGGAACAGCTGAGATTTAACTATGACCCAGCCCCAAAGGACTGAGCCCAGACACCTGGAGGACAGCACCCTCCACTGGTCAAAGGAGAGCCTGACTTCTATCAGAAGTTGATCCTAGAGATAACCTTTTCCTCTGTCAGTGAAAATAAAAAAAGGGGTGGAGGATGATTCTTACAACATGGATGGTTCAGTACTCTTCTGGAAGTGTAAAGGCGGGAACAGTTCACTAACAGGAATGCATGTTGGAAGAGAAGGAGCCTGATCAAGAGCAGCCTTGGGCCCCAGGGGAAAGAAACACAGAAGGCAGAAGGCAAGATTTCCAGACTGGGGAAATAGCGTCATATGGGGTCTGGGGAGCAGGGTGCCCTGAAGAGTACAGGACCATTCAGTGTCTGAGGAGCAGAGTCTCCTCCAGCCCTCCAGGCTGACCTCAGTGCAATGGCCAGGCCCCTTACCTTGGAGGTAAATGATTTGATCTTCCCAAAGAGTGACTTCTTGCTGGTAAAGATGAGGTCGTCTTCCACATCCTCACCTTCCATGATGGCACAGCTGTCAGCTGCTGGCAGGTCACAGTCCTTGAGGGTAGCATTCATTACCAGCTTGGAATACTTGTACTCTAGTCTATAGAACAGGAGGATGGGAAAGACAAGATCCCAAAATGTGGGAATAAGGGGGAAAGAGGTAGAGACGTTGGGCTACGGGCAGGTTCTACTCCCATGCCATGGGTAAGGAGACTGAAATGGCAAAAAGGTGTCTGGGCTGGGGGACCAGAAGTAATTTGGTTCCCAGTTCAGTGATCTTTCTTCCTTAAAGGCTCTCTGTTTCTGTGATCTCAAAGCTTAATAGAAATATTGACATCATAATGTCATTCTCTGTATTGTTAATAATAACAATGCATTAAGGATACTCTTTGCTTTTGAGAATCTAACATCCATTTATAGACTGCCACCATGATACCATCCCTGTTCAGGAGTCAGGATGCCCAAAGCATACACTGGGTAAGTGGCTCAACAAGCCTCTGACCAGAGTCACAGAGTCTGTAGCCAACTCCAGAGAAAACCCCATTAGTTGATACTCTCGGATGTTCTCCCTGATCAATGATCCAACCCTGTCCATCCCCAAACTCCAATACCCCATCATGTACTTTTGATTCTTTTTCCAAAAGTAGCAGGTCAAGACGGTGAGCAGGATGGCAGTACAGGTGCCTGCAGAGATGCCCATTTTCAGCCAGAAATCTATGGTTTTGCAGATGGTGACTCTCTGCTCAGGCAGAGAGATGCCACCAGAGCATAGCTTGGGTTCTCGCCACACATAAGTAGTCTTCTGTTGGGGAGAAAAATAAGGAAGTCAGCTCTCCCATTCCCTTCTCTCGTGGGAGTGCCCGGTCAGAGGGAAACCCACCTGGATGCCAGCTACACAGCTGCTGATGATAGCGTGGTAGTCAGCCACTGAGCAGAGCGGGCAAGCAGCCGTGCTCTCCCACAGGAAGTGGAAGTTGCAGCCATCACAGGTCCCATCCGAGCACGTTCTAGCAAAGCAGAAAGGAGACCTGAGCTCTCACTCGCTGGACAGTGGGGAAGATCTGGTTGGAGGCCTGTTGTCCCACAGCTTGCCTGATTTATCCTCTCCCTGCCCAAACTGCCAGCCCTACCGGGATCCTTCCAACTAGTCCTTAACACAGGTTTTGATCTCTGATTTCATGGATGGTAAGAGGCCTTCCTGGCCTCCAGTGGGCTCCCCGCCTTCTGCTGGTTTATGTTTTTGCTGACATCACATGGGAGCTATTGAAAGTGTCTGAGCTCTAACATGGCTGTCCCATGAACCCCTCCGAGGATCCCGTCCTCCTCACGGACTTGCAACATTTTGCAATAGCCACTTTGACACGGCTTCCTTGGGGTGAGATTGGAGTTGAGGTGGGGGTCAGGAATGAACTTCCGGTCATGGATACCTGCTATGTACTTTACTGTGGTGTTTACAACAGCAAGAGCAGGGATTTGACACTCAGACACCACCATTGGGTCAAGATGCCCTGCTCTGCTCCCCGTCTCCCCAGTCAGCTGTTTAGGTGCAGCATTTCCAAAACGTCTTCCTCAAGACGTGCTAGTGCCCATCAAGATGTTAGTTGCTGTTATACGGGGAGGGGAGGGGTGTCCTGCAGTCATATTCATTTGGAAGTTTTTTATTTAGTTCGCTCAGTTTTTTATTTAGTTCTATTAAACTCAGAAGTGGGTATTCTAGTTGCAGAGAGATTCCTAGGATCCCTAAACCTTGACTAATCCTCATAATGGCGGAGATCATGAAGCATCCTAAAGTCTCCTTGTCTCATTTAATCCTCAAAACAACTCCTTCAGGGAATTTAGCATTATACCCATTTTTTACTGATAAGGAAAAAAGAGATCTAAAGAAGGTAAGAAACGTATCCTGATAACGTAGCCAGTAAGTGGAGGAGATAATTCAATCTGGCTCTCAGCCGAGCTCTTGGTTATTTTGCTACGCAGCTGCCTCCATAATGGTCCAGGAATATGAGGGTAGCTTTCACTCTTCCTTCTGCCCCATTCTTGCCATCTGAAGATTGAGGTTTTGGGGCCATGACTGTGCCCCTAAGAGCCCATTTGCTCTTTTTCAATAATCTCTGGATCTCAGGATGGAATGACTTCAAGGAAGAGAGATTTCGGCCTTTGTTACACCCCTTTGCAGGGCTTACCCTGGCAGCAACAAATTTCCAGGGATACTTTTCCGTGGACTGCATCTGACACGGATAGTGGTTGATCTCCCAGAACTGCAGGACTGGGTCACATCATTGGACCTGCAGAGACAGCCAGCCCCCATAGGGGAATGAGTCACTCACCTCTGTTATTGGACAGCCACCAGGTGAAATCAGCATGGAACGATTCCCTAGCTGGGGAAGTCAGGACCTGGGCTTTAGCCTAGCACGTGGGGAGTGCACAGGCCTTGGTGTATATGTGGAAGGGTGGGGATCAATGCAGTCAAGGGGGAAATTCCCTGGTTTCAGAAAATCATGGCTAGCATACACCGGAGCCTGCTTAGGCTGGAAGGGAAGTCCACTGCAGATCATCCAGCATTTCTCCTTGCCTCTAGGGCAGACCTGCACCAGTTATACCCAAGAAGCTGGGATCGGGAACTCCCAGCCTTTAGCTATCATGACTGGACAGATCTGCTAGACCTTAGACATGTTCTGGCTTGATAAGCAGTAGGCGGCTAGAGAGGGAGGTATGCAGCAGAAATTATGGAGGAGTCCTAGGTTTCACTCGCATTAGCCTAGCCTCTCATCTTCACCTATAAAAGAAGATCACGTCCGGTATTCCCAAGGACTCCGGGTGGAAAAGTTCAGCTGGGGAGGTGATTCCATCCAGAGTCATATCTGTTGTCACCCCTGCCAAATTAGAGCTCCTAATTAGTTCCCACTAGTAGCATTAGCTGGCAACCACTTCAATTCTTCCAAAACCTATCAACATGCAACCTCACTTCATCTCATCACATCCCTGAGTGGCTTATGAAAGGGGTGACCCAAGGGTTTGTCAGAGGCCCGGGGAGCACTTGGCATACAGAATGGAATAGAAAACACAGGTCAAGAGGTTGGGCCCCTCATGTGGGGCCTTTTACCTCCCAGCCTGGTAACCTCACGCTCTCTTACACACACACACACACACACACACACACGGCTGAAGTAGCAGAGTTACTCACCAATAAGTCGGTCAGCAAGGCTGACAGGCTGCGAGGAAACCCCGGCCTTGTAGCCTGTCACCTCTGTGGGGATGATGACTGCCTGGCAGACGTAGGCTGTGATAGATTTGGAGAACCCTGACTCACCCTCGGGAATCCTGAGGTCAGTGACGTTGTCGGTGCACACAGACATTTTCCTACCCTGGTTGGGGAGTGGGGAGGAAGAAGTGGGAAGAAGTGAGTGGGCACAGAGGAATCCCCAGAAGGGAACAGGGAAGGCTTTTTTACATCTACATTTTCAGCTTTCCAGTGGTGTGTTGTAGGGGAATGTTATTCAACCCAGGTCTAATGACAAGACAGATTTGACCTTTTTTTTTTTTGAGACAGGGTCTCGATCTATTGTCCAGGCTGGAGTGCAAAGGTGCAATCATAGCTTAAATCATAAAATAAAAAATCATAACTCAAAGCCTTGACTTCCTGGGTTCAAGGGATCCTCCTGCCTCAGCATCCTGAGTAGCTGGAACCACAGGGGAGTTTTTTCTTTTTGGTAGAGTTAGGGTCTCTCTGTGTTGTCCAGGCTGGTCTTGAACTCTTGGGCTCAAGTAATCCTCCTGCCTCAGTGTCCCAGAGTGTTGGGATTAGACGGGTGAGCCACTGTGCCCAGCCAACATTTTCAGTGTTATAAATTTTATTATAAATGGTGCTAATCTGGTGTCTCTTACCTTTTTTTTTTTCTAGATTGTAAAAAGTAGATGAGCTTAAAAACTGAAGGAAACCTTTATATTACAATAAAACAAAGAGTTCTTTTGTCTTTGAACTAACGATCTGTGGTGTGGCAGTATACCATAAGCATTTCTAAAAAAGGAAAGGAGTAGAGAAAAAAAGACACCATTTCCCCAAATTCCCCACCATTATAGCTCTTCATAATTCACTGAGTGACACTTTTGCTACATGGAGGCTGCTTTAATCAGTCTTATTTCCTAAGTGATCATGACCTGTTAACTTCTGAGGCTTCATTTTAACCTCTTCAAAGACTTCTGAAAACAAGAAATAAACTAGTCTTTCATACATTAGTTTATTTCTTGACATGTTATAAACACCCATCAACTTCTTTGCATGCTGCAGAAGATGGCCAGAGCTCTATGATGTGAAGGCCTTACCATCAACAGAATCAAAGACTGAATGCTCAAGATGCTCTTTATTTTGTAACTGTTTTTTTTTTTTTTTAATATGGAGTCTTGCTGTGTTGCCCAGGCTGGAGTGCAGTGGCATGATCTTGGCTCATTGCAACCTCCACCTCCCGGGTTCAAGCAATTCTCCTGCCTCAGCCTCCCAAGTAGCTGGGACTATAAGCGTGTGCCACTATGCTTGGCTAATTTTTGTATTTTTGGTAGAAACAGGGTTTCACCATGTTGGCCAGGCTGGTCTTGAACTGCAAACCTGCCTTGGCCTCCAAATTGCTGGGATTACAGGCACGAACCACTGCACCCAGTCTATTTTGTAACATTTGAAATGAACTTTCCAACTTCTAATTGTGGCTTGGTTGCAGTTCAGTCACGTGCAGTGGTGGGATTAACCTTGACATTTCTGCCTTTGAATTTTGGACCTGAAATATTTGCGGCAGCATGAAATGGCTGATGGTGACAATCTTTCCTTATGAAGCATTTCATGTTACTTTCTTTTGTACTGTCAGCAAAGAGACATGTGGATGAACCAGAAACAGTTGATTTTATCCAGCCTATAGAAAACAAGCAACAAATGCAGTGATTGCTGAAGACTGCTTTTTCAAGAAAGGGGAAAAAAACCCTCCTGGATATTTTTAAATATACTCATTCTGAGGAAATAAAGGGCAGGTAAAAGTAAAAAAAACCTTATTTTAAACATCTTTATTTTCCTAAGTGTTTATAATCCTGATTGTTTAATTTTAGGGGGAAATGTCCTCAGGGAGAATAATATTTAAAAATCTTTGAGGCCGGGTGTGGTGGCTCATTTTAAACATCTTTATTTTCCTAAGTGTTTATAATCCTGATTGTTTAATTTTAGGGGGAAATGTCCTCAGGGAGAATAATATTTAAAAATCTTTGAGGCCGGGTGTGGTGGCTCATGCCTGTAATCCTAGCACTTTGGGAGGCAGAGGTGGATGGATCACAAGGTCAGACGTTCGAGACCAGCCTGGCCAACATGGCAAAAACCCCATCTCTACTAAAAATACAAAATTAACCGGGCATGGTGGCAGGTGCCTGTAATCCCAGCTACTCGGGTGGCTGAGGCAGGAGAATCAATTGAATCCTGGAGGCGAATGTTGTAGTGAGCCGAGATCGCGCCACTGTGCTACAGCCTGGGCGACAGAGCCAGAGCAAGAATCCGTCTCAAAAAAAAAAAAAAAAATCATCTGAAGCTCCTCAACCCCCTGCTGCCTGAAGGATTTCTGGTTTTCTCCTGTGTCTGTCTCTGGCCCTGATCCATGGGCCTCCCCCATTCAATTCTCACCCTGTCAACTGGCATACCTTACCTGGTTTCCACAGAGACTGAGGGTAAAGTGATGGAAGTATTTCAGCCCTTTGGAAGTGAAGCTTGGCCCTCCAGCAAGAGTGACAGTGTTTGCCAACGCAGAGAAGTTGTAGTTGAAAGTCCTGGTCGGAGTGTGGCGTGAGAAGGTGCAATCATTGTAGCACAGAGAGTGGATCTGAGGGGGAGAGGGACGGGTTAGGCCAGCTGCTCAGGTCGGGCCTTTGGCCGAGAGTAGCAGTTTTCTCCCCAGTCTGGTCCCGCCCAATTGGGGTAATGAGGAGGAAGAAAGGATTAGGGGTGACCAGTAAAAGAAGTGAAACAGGCACTAGTGGGATTGATGTATATGTTGCCATTCAGTTATTAGCACATATATGATGGACAAATCCAAACCTGTTATTTTTCAGAAGGGAGTTCAGTCAAATTCTATAGCCTTATCCCTGTGCCTAGATTACAGAAGCTTCTCAAGACACAAGAGGACCCTTTTGACTTTCGAGCAGAGACAATGAGGTGCTACTACCCGGAAAAGGGTATCTGAGATGGAAGAAGAGAAACCCATCTTGCTCCCTCCCCCCTCCTTCACAGGGTAAAACTCACTGAACCCTGCTGCCTCCTGTTTCTCAGGTTCTCTGTAGGAAACTGAACTCCAAAAGGAAACTTTCTTCGTAAACCCTTTCATTGCTCTGCTTTAGGGTCACCCTTCAGAGACAGCTGCACACAGCTGTCATTTCCTCCCACAGCAGCAGAGGGAGCTCCAGGGAAGGAAGATTGCGGCCAAAGTCCAGGGTACCCCAAAGAGCTTGCCAGGGGTCTGTAGAATCGTTGCACTTATTGCACAGATGAACTAGGCAATGTTTATGGAGTACATATTGATAGTGCCTTACAGATGTATGTGATCAGTAAAATACAAATTCATTTAAAGGCATCGATTAATATCTAAGAACTTTTAGTCATAAGTACTTCTCAGATGCAGAAAGTTCATGGGGACAGCAACACTGCTTATCCACTTTACTTATTTATTAGTTTTCAAAGGTGCCTTTATTTTTATTTATTTTTAAATTAGAGACAGGGTCTTGCTCTGTCACCCAGGCTGGAGTGCTGTGGCGCAATCATGGCTGATTACAACCTTGAACCCCTGGGCTCAAGTGATCTTCACACCTCAGCCTCCTAAACTGTTGGGATTATAGGTGTGAGCCACTGCACCCAGCCTTTTCCCGCTTAGCAAAGGAATCTTTATACTTGAAATGCCGAGGAACCCCTGGGATAGAAGATAGCAATGCCAGTTATTCATATGTCCCAGCAGTGGTTGGGTTTCCATCTTTTCAAAGAAGAAGGGGCAGATTTCCAGAAAAACAGGCCAGATTGGACAATGCTGAATATAAACCACAGGCCCCACCCCACTGTTCCTTCCCTCTAGGTCTCTACACAGATGCCAAATAACCCTCTGGATCAGACAGTCGCCAACCTCTCTTACCTGCCAACTGAAGATGAGACTTGTCAGTGACTGAGTCCTGAACCCTGGAAATCAAGCCCTGCTCACCCTCCACAGTCACAGCCTAGATGGATGTCCCCCAGGACTCCAACCTAGGAGTATGCTAAGGGGAGCACTTGGGTATCAGCCTCTCAAGAACCCCACCCAGGACCCAGCATCTTGTGATGTCATCCAACCAGAGGGCCAGGTTTAGAAGGCATTCAGACTGCAGGTACCTTGTTGCTTTTGGTCCCTGGACCACAGGGCACACAGGCCTGGACACCATAAGGCTGGTGGGCTTTCAGAATTGTATTAGGGGGGCAGGAGTGGCATGTTCCTGAATCTCGGTCAATATAGTAACCAGCAGGACAAGAGGTGCAGGAGGAGCCCACATCAGAGGCTTCTAGGGCACAGGGATGGCAGTAGGAGGCCACGCCATCCATGACATTGGTGACATTGATGGAGTAGATCTTGGCGACATCATTGGTGTACTTCCTGCTCTGGAGACAAGGAAATGAGAGAGGAGAGGGGGAGGCTTGAGACAGCAGCAACAATTGAGGCCTCTCGAAAGAGCAAGGTACTTAATCTTTCATCCTGTGAAAGTCAAGAAAAATCTTACAAGCATCCAACTCTGTACTCACTTGCCAGTAGCTCTTCACAAATTTCTGGAATTTGTGATCCAGCAAAGTCCTCAGTTTGGTCCTACTTTTGGGAAAGAGAGAGCTGTGCCCAAGTGGGCTGGGATGGTAGTGGGGATGGGGCAGCAATTTACTATGGCGATCGGATTTGCAAATTGGAAAGTACTTTTTGAAGAGCCAATGGCTCTTCACGTGCAGCTGGTGTCATTTTAAAATGAGACTGAACCATTTATAGGATATATAAAAATATTAAGTGCCGTGGGGAAAATACGCAATGGATACTGTTTTATGAAAAAAGCATGTCTTTTCCTTATAAACAAGAAAAAAAGATATTTGTAGAGAAATAGAGTGTATAGGAGGTGCCCCGCATGTTAACTGGTTTATCTCTGGGTAGCGGGATTATGGCCGATTTTATTGCTTATTTTTGTTTATTTCTATTTACTGAGTTTTCTGCAATAAGCCTGTATTCCTTTGAGTTAAGAAAATAAAAGCAGAGTTGTTATTATTTAAAAAAAAACAACAAGTCTGGTACCATATGTATCAGGGCAGGGACTATGAGGAGGGCCAGCTTATTTCTTACGGTGTCATCTTTCCAGGAAGTCATTTGGACAAGACTAGGTGGTCCTCAGAGGTCTGGGTTAGGCAGTTTTCTGCTCGACTCCCTAAGGTCCTTCTAACCCTTGGATTTGGAACTTCAGACTCGTACTTAAGCTAATGCTAAGAATCCTCCTGGGTTCAGAGTGTCTCTCCTGGGAGCTGGGTGTCTGAGGAAGGGGAGAAACTTACTGCCTCATGAAAAACAGTCCTCTGGAAGGCCCAGGTGAAGCTCGTGGTGGCGTTCTCCTCAATGATGTAGGTGTAGGACTGCTTGCCTTTGGAACCTTTCCAGGTCTCCACAGGGGTGTTGGTCCTAGAATTCACACCCTGAACCCAGGACAGACAAGTGAAGAGGGTGTGATGGCAAGAAGGAAACTGGGTGCCCATGTGGCTGCCATCCCAGTGCCATCATGGTTGGTGAGACCCTTGTTAAACTGTGAGGTCCCTGCTGGTCAGTCCGGGCCTTTCCTCTGTGGAATCACTACAAGTGGGGTGTCAGTCACGGGGACACACCAGTGGGGCAGATAGGACTAACCCTCCCCTGGAGGCCCTATAGCAGGCAAAGAAAGGAAAACGCACCACCATGAAGTAGAGCTCACAGTTCACCGAACAGATGGTCTCAAAGACAAACGTGATTCTGGCCACCTCTTTATTCTCTGTGTCTGCCATCAACGACTGTGGAGGTCTGTAGGAGCAGAAATTAAAAGTCAGTTCTAGAGGCCGGGCAGTGCTTACTGAAGAGCCCAGACAACAGCAGAGGGTCTGCTGGGGTCCAGGATTAGGTTCTGAATACGATGGAAAGTGTGTGGACTAAATCCAATTCTGCCCTCCTAGCTATGTGACCTTGACCCAGCCAAACCATAGTTTCCTCATCTGCAAAATGGAGGTGATAAAATCTCTCTCTTTTTTTTTTTTGAGACGGAGTTTCGCTCTTGTTACCCAGCCTGGAGTGCAATGGTGCGATCTCGGCTCACCGCAACCTTCTTCTCCTGCCTCAGCCTCCTGAGTAGCTGGGATTACAGGCACGCACCACCATGCCCAGCTAATATTTTGTATTTTTAGTAGAGATGGGATTTCACCATGTTGACCAGGATGGTCTCGATCTCTTGACCTCGTGATCCACCCCCCTCGGCCTCCCAAAGTGCTGGGATTACAGGCTTGAGCCACCGCACCGGGCCTAAAATCTCTTTCTTAACTACCTCCCATCATTGCGGGGAGACCTGAAGGCATGACAGATGTGGAGGTGCTTTATAAAATGCTGTATCACCTCACTAGCAGAATATGGTCTGCAGACCCGCAGTATGGCCATCTCCCTGAGTTTATTAGAACCACAGAACCTCAGGCTCCTCCCAGACCCAGTGAATCAGAATCTGCGTGTTAATAATCCCAGGTGATTCGTGTGCACATTTAAGTTTGAGAAGCACTGCTATCATAAGACTGTAAATTGTTGACATATACTCAGCAGCTCTCTCTCCAGCTCTGGGGAGTTTTGCTGGGGTTAAAGGAGCGGAATTTGTGACCCAGCAAAGTCCTCGGTTTGGTCCGACTTTTGGGAAAGAGAGAGCTGCGCCCAAATGGGCTATGGTGTTAGTGGGGATGAGGCAGCAATTTACTATGGTGATCGGATTTGCAAATTGGAAAATACTTTTTGAATGTTATTCCAAAAGAGCCTAAAAAGTTTACTTGCCTTGCAGACACAGGCTGTACCTGGGCAGCTCTGAGTAAGGTGTCAAGGGAAGGCAAACTGAGCACCATCCCAGGGATAGGGAGCAGGGACCTCGAAGGAGGGAATGAAGGTGTCAAATTGGCAATGGGGAAGCCCATTCAGTGGTCGCCCCTTATCTTTGGAGTTCATATAAGCAGAAGAGTTCACTTTGACCTTGAAAATTCATTCATGGCTTTCCTTTTGGCGTTAGTAGTTTGCCTGAATTCTCAGGACCTCCAGTTCTCAGTATCTCTATACAGTTGCGTTTACCAGTGGGTTGGAAGAGCCATCTCAACCTCAGTCCTAAATCACACACTGGTTTTGTGGATGAGGGGCCTGGAGCCCGAATAGGTGAAGTGACTTTCCCAAGGTCGCACAGCCAGTAAGCAGCAAAGCACGAGTGCCCTTTCAGTCCAGTGTTCCTTCCACCACACCACACAGCCAGGAGATGTGTTTGTGTGTTTGTTTAGCGGAAAACAAATTTCTTGTTGCCCTAGGTCTTCTTGGGATATGGGGACAAATATGATAATAAAAACAATCCCTCCCAATCTTGTCGCCCCAAATAAAGATGAACTGGCTATGGGCATTTCTGGCCCTATTATTTTTTGGTGTTTTTTCTTTTTCTAATCTGAAGTGATGCTGTGAGGAGGAAGAATTTGAATAGCATGTGGCTAATGGATGGGAGAAGCTATATGGGATGAGAGAGCAGTCGGTAAATCAACGTGGACGGCTTGAAACATGGGTTAGCATTCAGGTTACCTCGGTCAAACTATGACTGTGCCCTCTGTTCTCAACTGACATTTGAAATGAAATGAAACACAACCCCAGAAGCCTTCTCCTCTACAATATTCCAAAATACTTGGGATTCAGATATGGCCAAGCTGGCCTGGACGCCCTTGGGCTTTGGATTCCTCACCTAAATCCTGGCACCACCAGAGTGAGAATCATGAAGTCGTTGTCTGAGGCCCCAGCAGCTGTATAAATGTGATCGCCAGCCACTTCCCAGCCTGAAAAGGAGAGGGGAGAGTTAATGTGCTTGTGCTGTTGGGTGCAAGACAAATGTGCACCCAGATGACAATCTGGAAGGGAGGTGTGACACCATCTTTTGAGGCATCCAGAACCACCACTGAACATGAACCACATTACTTTTCCTGCTACTTTGGTCAAAGACCCTGAAGCTCTCAGAGCAAGACCTTTGAAGTGCACGCTTATATTTCTAGCTCTGTTCCTTCCTCTAAAGCCATCTTGGCTGGACATATGTCCATGAGGAGTGGAACTTTCAAGGGAATGCATGACCTGGTTATTTTTCTCAGACATCACTATTATGAAAAAATGTGAAGCTGGGAGAACTGAAGGAGTGCAGGGAGCTAACAGCTCACAGCACGGGGCGGGGGGGGGAGGGGCGCAATTACCTGTCATGCCCTTGTATTCGAAGTTGATCCCACTGAGAACTGTCGTTTCCATGTTTGTGGGCAGCATGTTCCACCATTTGTATTCAAATCCCACAGCAGGTTCAGTTCCCGCAGGGCAGGGGGTACAATCTGGGGAACCACAAGATCCATGCATTCAGCCAGAAGGCTGCGGCCACTCTGACTGGAGCTGCTGCCACACAGCCAAGTGGCAACAGTAGCAAGCAGCCAACAAGCCTGGCTGCTGAGAACTGCTGCAGGGAGGTGTGTCAGGCTGACTCAAAAACATTCTGACAACGAATTTAACTAACTCAAGATGTAAACACTGGGCCTTCTTTCCAGTATGCCAGCCATCCTACTTGCCCACCAAAATTTCCATTTCAGAACTTAAATGTACCTTCTAGTCTGATACGTGTAGTTTATATTATTGTCACATTATCATTAAATGCATTCATATTAACAGGTACACAAATCCCCCCAAGGCAGCATGGCTTATAGGTTCTGGGTGTGTCAAGCTGGTCATCCCAGCCCCTTCAGCCTTCTAGTCAGCATCTCTGCCATATGCTGGAAGCTCTGCTTTAAGGATTGGGCACCTTCAGGCCCGAGCCACATTTGCAGTTGGTTCAAGGAGAAAGGAAGGCAGCCTCAAGTCTGACTCTGACCTGCGGACAAGGCCAGCCCTGACCTCTCTTCTCCTGAATTTAGTCTTCAGAGGTGGCCTGGTCCTTACTGCCTCCCTTGGAAGGGCGGAGTCTGCATTCAGCTGGCCACTCTGAGTGCCCACGCAGCCCACCAGCACAGTTGACATGGGGCTGGATGTGAGGCAGGGAGTGGGCTGGGGAGGAGGTTACCTGAGCCATTGGAGTAGGAACCATATGGGCAGGGCTCACAGGTGCTGTTGCTGGTTTTGAAGAAGCCCGGGTTGCAGGGTGGGCAGCGGGTCTTCACGCCAGAGGCAGGCAGCTTCACCGCCCCCTCAAGCTCCTCACTGCAGATCTTCGGCTTGGCCCATTTGTACATGAGCTGTGTCTGCAGAAATGGATTAAGTACCACTCAGCCTGTGTGAGATTTAAGACATCTTTGGGACTCTACCTTGAGGATGGGGGTTGGGGGCAGAGATCCAGATTGTGGGCCAGATAAGAGTTCCTCTGGGGGGCGGAAACCTCTGGAGGGGTTGGTCACTGATGTAACCTAAGCACTGAACCCAGTGCCTGATGCATGGTTGTGCCCAGTAACTATCTGCCAAATGGATGTTGCCCAGGTGACAGGGAATAGCTCTAATGAAGACTTTATGACAGAGGATGTGGGACCAGTTGTGTTAGAGAAAGCTCCGATTCCACTGTAGAATCTTATTGCTATCAAGGTCACAGGAAAAGCAGCTGGTGAAAATCCCAGAACTCGGAAAGGCACAGAGTGGAGGTGACTTACATGCCCCCTGGGGAATGACGGGGTGGCTGAGATGTCCCAACTTACTGTTTGAGTGGCGCATTCTTTGATCTTTTATTGATTGGGTCAACCTTTACAGAAAGCCTAATACTTCTATGCGCCACATCTGGTGTCTCACGAGATGAACGAGACATGGCCTCTGCATTGTGTGCAGAAGTGGAGATGACCCTCAGGAGACCCCAGCTGAGTCAGGGGTGAAGGTGGGCCGCTCCATTCTTCCCATATGGTCCTCATATCGAGTCACAGACAAAAAGGGGCCCTTATGGGTTGCACTGCTGGGCTGATGAACATGGCCCATGCAGCATACCATACACGTGAAAAGAAGGATGACTAAGGCCTCTGTCCATAGTTTTTCAAGGTAAGCAACAAGTCGTTGCTGGGAGCAGTGGCTCATGTCTGTAATCCCAGCACTTTGAGAGGCCGAGATGGGCAGATCACGAGGTCAGGAGTTCAAGACCAGCCTGACCAATACGGTGAAACCCCTTCTCTGATTAAGTCCCTGCCCTTAATGAAAAAAGAAAAGAAAAGAAAAAAAGAAAGAAACCCCTTCTCTACTAAAAAAATACAAAAATTAGCTGGGCATGGTGGTGCACGCCTGTAGTCCCAGCTACTCGGGAAGTTGAGGCAGGAGAATCACCTGAACCTGGAAAGCAGAGATTGCAGTGAGCCGAGATTGCGCCGCTGCACTCCAGCCTGAGCAACAGAGCCAGAATCCATTTAATTAAAAAAAAAAAAAAAAAAAAAGGAGAAAGAAACAAGTCCTTAAGGAGGGACACAGGCTGCCTTAACTGATGGGGAGCCCTGGGCTCCTCCTCCCCCTGCTCAGCTTGGCCCTCCTCCCTGTGAAGGGCTGCGACAGCCAGAGCCCCAGGCTTAACCCCACCTGCTTCCTGTGAGTCTCGGAGAGGAGGTCCCAGGAGCCAGCACACTGACTCAGGCCTGCTCTTGGAACAGCACATGCAGTAGCCCCAATGGACGGGCCATCCTAGTCCCTGAGAAATGACTGAGGTACAGCCAAGATCAGAAACATAATCATAGGAGCCAGCTTGAGGTGTGTCCCTTGATTTTAAAATACAGTTTAGAAGACAAACTGAATCACCAGACTGAGCAGAACCCATGTGGGAATAAGGCACAAAGCAGAATTCTGCCAGCCTGGGGAATGCATATTCACACACACTCCTGAAAGCGCACACTTCATTGCTCCTCTGAGCTGGGCTTTGGCTGCGCTGTAAGGCGGGAGCGCAGGCTTTGGTCTGACCCAGCATCTAAAGGCCCGTGGTGGTCAGGCCAAGGCAGACACCCAGGCTTGCAGGCAGCAAACACACTACTGATCCAGAAGGCCTTGGTGTGAGCCCAGGGAGGGAACTGAGTGGGGCAGAAGGGAGGAAAGACAGTCACATTCAGTCACATGTTATGAACAGGAGGGAGAAGAGCAGCAGGATTAATTGTCTGCCTTTCATTAGTGAGTCAGCCGAGACCAAGAAAATGAAAATAATTTTTACAAGGTCATACAGACACCACAGAACTGGGTCTAAGGTGCAACTGACAAAACACAGCCATTCTCTCTTGGCTGCTGGGGAAGGAGATGATGCCCCAAATATGTCAGGGAGGTGGTGGTGGTAAGAAATGATATCAAAAATATTCATTGTTAAAGACCAGACTTTAACCTATGCTTAGTTAGGAAAGGGAGAAGTCAGCCAGCCAGCAAGTGTTTATGCATCTTAAGAGCCAAGCATCCTGCTTAGTGCTGAGTGAAGAATTCCCAGCTCCCAGTTCTATCCCCTCGAGAGTCTCTGGCTTAGGGGATAGAGATGGCTCAACTAGACCCTTCTCCGTGTGCCTCAAGCCCTTCCCTGCTTACTTATGCTGTTCCTCCACCCACCAGGCCCCGCAGCTGCTGCCTCCACTCCTGCTGTGTCCGCTGTCTGGAAAGCTCCGTGGCTCCTCCCTCATCTCCTTCAGACCTCTGCGCAAATATCACCTCCTCAGAGAGGCCATCCTTAGCCTTTCTAAAATAGCGGCACCACTCTCCATCATTCTCTGTCTCCTAATCGGGGTTTATTTTCTTCCTTCCTACCACTTACTACCAATTGCAATATTATACACCCATTTGTCTCCCTCCCCAACAAGACTTAAGGCCGGGCGTGGTGGCTCAAGCCTGTAAGCCCAGCACTTTGGGAGGCCGAGGCGGGTGGATCACGAGGTCAAGAGATTGAGACCATCCTGGTCAACATGGTGAAACCCCGTCTCTACTAAAAATACAAAAAGTTAGCTGGGCCTGGTGGCGCGTGCCTGTAATTCCAGCTACTCAGGAGGCTGAGGCAGGAGAATTGTCTGAACCCAGAAGGCAGAGGTTGCGGTGAGCCGAGATCGCACCATTGCACTCCAGCCTGGGTAACAAGAGTGAAACTCCGTCTCAAAAAAAAAAAAGAGCTAGAGGTTCCCTCAGTCTTCTTAACTGATACATACCTAGTGCCTAGCACAGTACCTGGCACAGAGAAGCTACTTGATAAATATTTGTGGATTGTTGAACAAATGGCCTCCTCTGAGAGGCTTTCTCTGCCGCTCCCACCCCAGGTCCTGGTCACTCCTCTTCTGGGTGCTCCCAGTTCCCTGCACATCCCTCTGATTGCCTTGATTGGGCTTGTGTTTCTCTCTCTCCACCTCCCGCACAGGACTGTGAGCTCCCTGAGGGCAGGAGCTTGCCTCAGTCATCCCTGACTCCCCAGCCTATAGTGCCCTGCCTGACACATCAGCTAACCTCAAAGAGTGCTTGTTGACTTAGTAACAATGTAGACTAGGAGGGAAAGTTCTTTGTGAAGCAGAAAGCATGGAGGGAAGAGAAGCAGCAGAAACGGAACAAGTCAGGCCACAAGCAGGAACCGTTCAGTGCCAGCCCACAATGCAGCGCCGAGGGGCAAGGCCACAGGCAGGAATCGTTCCATGCCAGCCCACAATGCAGCGCCGAGGGGCAAGGCTGGAGAGCTCTGGGAAAACACTGTGTGCGACAGGCAGAGTCTGCCCCACGGGGCTCGGCAAGTTAAAGACGCCAAGCAAGAGAGAATGAAGGGGTTTTGAAACAGAGCATATGAATATAAACAGTGAAACAGATGCTGCAAAACAGTTTCTGACCGGAAAATGAATGAAGAGGTCCCATTTTGCCCCCTGCCCCACCTAGCCCTGGGGTTCCCTCAAAGGTCTGTGGGGTTTTAACTAGTGCCAGGGTCATTGACCGCTGGAGCTCCAAATGGTGGCAAAGCTCAGGGAGTGAAAGACACTCCATCTAGGGCTAGGGGCTCCAAGACGGTGCTACCTACCTCTCCATTGGCATCACAGGCCGTATGTGTGTAGAAATAATCTTTGTCTGTGCAAGCCGGGCGCACGTTACAGGAAGAGGATCCTTTCTCTAAATTATCAACGCAAGAAGAAATATTTGGAGTTACATAAGAAAGCTGAGCTCCCAGCCTCTTCATGGCCCTGTGACCGCGAAGCCCCTGCGTGCATTGCCACACAGATATTGCCGGAAGTAGAAAATCCTGCACACTCACCCTTTCCCTTGCCTCAGTAGGGTCATTTCCAGTTCCCCAAACCCTGCTCAGCCATCCCTTTGCACCTCTTCCAGGTGCTAATGAAAAACCACTATTCGCAGCCTGCTGCCCGGCTCCCCCCAGCCCCCCCACCCCATGACCCTTGGAGCAGGAGATGGAGAACTGGCTTCGTCAAAGGACCAGCAAGGAAGGGGGATGGAAATAGCCTCTTGCAGGTTAATCACCACCAACCCAAGTTCCCTGACACCTGGGGAGGTTCAGAAGGTTCACCATCTTCCAGGTACCTTAGTGTCTTGACTGTGGGTGTGGCTTTTCTACTCCTGAAGTGCTGAAGTAAAATATGACTTTGCTTTTACACTCATTCCAAGCTTTTCTGTGAATGTTCTGATATATGCCTAGAATAAAGGCCGTCCACCTTTGAAATTTCCTTTGCTTCATGCAACCATTCTACACAAATCAGGTTTGTAATTTCCTTGGACTCCCCCTAACATGTAAGGTTCTCTCCACTTGCCTCAACCCAAGTGTCCCAACACTAGCTTTATTATTTATTATTTATTTTTGAGACGGAGTTTCACTCTTGTTGCCCAGGCTGGAGTGCCATGGCGCGATCTCGGCTCACTGCAATGCAACCTCTGCCTCCTGGGTTCAAGCGATTTTCCTGCCTCAGCCTCCTGAGGGATTACAGGCATATGCCACCACTCCAGGTAAATTTGGTATTTTTAGTAGAGATGGGGTTTCTCTGTGTTGGTCAGGCTGGTCGCGAACTCCCGACTTCAGGCGATCCTCCCGCCTCGGCATCCCAAAGTGCTGGGATTACAGGCATGAGCCACCGCGCCCGACCTCTTTATTATTATTTTGTTATTGCCATTTTTTAGAGACAGAGTCTTGTTCTGTTGCCAAGGCTGTACTGCAGTGGTGCCATCTTAGCTCACTGCAACCTGGAATCCTGGGCTCAGGCAATCCTCCCACCTCCCACACTGGCCTGAACACTGTCTTTAACTCTTGATTTGTACCTAATGAAAAATGTTAACCGCTGGGCGCAGTGGCTCATGCCTGTAATCCCAGCACTTTAGGATCTCTTGAGTCCAGGAGTTCAAGACCAGCCTGGAAAACATGGCGAGCCCTGTCTCTACCAAAAATACAAAAATTAGCCAGGCGTGGTGGTGTAGGCCTATAGTCCCAGCTACTTGGAAACTGAGGTGAGAGAATCACTTGAGCCCAGGAGGTTGAGGCTGCAGTGAGCCATGATCATGTCATTGCATTCCAGCCTGGGTGATAGAGAGAGACCCTGTCCAAGAAGAAAGAGAAAAAAAAAAAAAAAAGAAAGAAAGAGAGAGAGAGAAGGAAGGAAGGAAAGCAGGCTTTCTGGTCCCAGTTGCAGAAGCAGGATGACGAAGGGAACGTCATTGTTTGGGAAGCGTCGTAATAAGATGCACATGTTGCATCTCTAAAGCCTACCACCTTCAAAAGTCGACCTGAGGCAAATGTGGCTACCCTGCCAAGCACAAGAGAAAGTATAACTGGAGTGCCAAGGCTAAAAGACGAAATACCACCGGGACTGGTCGAATGAGGCACCTAAAAATTGTATACCGCAGATTCAGGCATGGATTCTGTGAAGGAACGACACCTAAATCCAAGAGGGCAGCTGTTACAGCATCCAGTTCATCTTAAGAATTTCACCGATTAGTCATGCAATAAATGTTCTGATTTTAAAAATAAAAAAAAAGAAGGAAGGAAAAGGAAAGGAAAGAAACGAAAGGACAGGAGAGGAAAGGGAAGGGAAGGAAGAACGCTGTCAGTTTTATCCTACTCTCTGCATGTTCTCCTTATGTCTATGTTAGCTCTTCATACCTATGAACCTCTGAATAGCAAGAACTGTTTCAATGAATCTCTATTAGCTTTTTAATTTTTTATCATCTTTCCATCACATGGGTTTCTTTTCTTTCTTTCTTTTCTTTTCTTTTTTTCTTTCTTTCTTTTTTTTTTTTTGTGGTAGAGAGAGAGTCTTGCTATGTTGCCCAAGATGGTCTTGATCTCCTGGCTTCAACCAGTTCTCGCACCTCAGCTTCCCAAAGTGCTGGGATTACAGGCATGAGCCATTGTGCCCAGCTTGACTCTCTCTTTCAAGCAGTGGCTTTAACTTTTCTTGAATTTAGAAACTCTTTTGAAAGTTTGAAAAAAAAAAGAATGTTTCTCTCTACCTAGAAAAATATGCATAATTTATGCAAATAAAAATTTTTTGGAAGTTTTCTAGGGAATTTACTTTCTCCAGAATAAAAATAACTGCTTTATAAGGTGCACATTACAATACTGTTACTACTGCCACCACGACTTCTAATATGACTAGTGTGTCACCTGCAGATAATCATTGAATAACGGCAAGACCTTCTCTCTCTTTCTATTGGCTGGCAGGTAGAATGGTATAGTGGAATGAAATTTTAAGCTAGACAGATAGGGGTTTGGATCCCGCTTCATCATTTAGCAGCTGTGTCACTTTAGGTAAGTTACTTAACCTCTCTGAGCCTCAGCCTTCTCATCTGTAGAACAGGACTAATAATATATACCTTGCGGGAGCCAGCACATACCTGGCACTTTGCAAGTAGTTACTCACTAGATTGCAGTAACTATTACTACCTGCGTGTTAGGGAATTATTTTTATTTGGGAGTGGTCACAGGAGAGTTGATAAGGATTAAAAGTCTTTTTCCTTCCCTTTCAGTTAAAGGCTTATTTCTCAACTGATTCCTTCTTTTTCTCCAGGCACCACCTGAGTTCGTGGATGAGACAATCTCCTAATTGCAGCGTTGTTGGCCTGCGCTGGAAAGTTCCCTCAACCACGCGTCTCCATACCCCTTCCGTCTCTGTCTTATTAGGCTGGACAGGAGGGAGCTACTGGCTGAGAAACAGCTGGGGTCTGCGCAGCTCATTTACTTGGTTAACAAGCAGGAGGCCCAATTCAGCACAGAGGGACCAGGGACTCCTGCTTTTGACTGACTTGGCCAGGAAGAATGTGTGGGGAGAGGCTGAAAAAGTGGGGGACATGCCAATTCCTGGATCTAATAAAGTGCAAGTTGTGTGTTAGAAAATTCATTCTGCACCAAGACCTTTCTCTGCTTGTCAAATATTTGCTCAACCTGACATTTGAGCAAAAATGGCTCAGCTGTTTACACACTGACCCCTGTTAAGATGGTTTTAATAAATGATTAACCAAAACGCTGAAACCAACCTCCTTTCCCAGCTCGGGTTTCATCAAGGTGTTTAAGTTGGATGCCAGTCAAATTTGGAAGCCAGGCCTCTGTGTTTGGTTGAGGGAGGGAAAAGTGACTTAAGTAGGATTGGCCCTGGGCAAAACTGTAAGAAGATAAAGTTTATCTCAGGGGCTCCAACTCCTCTTTCTGCACCTGCCTCCTGCTTTCATTACCCCCCGCCCCCCCAGGAGTACAATGTTCTCAGTGGGATGTTTTATCAAAGTAAAACATTTCTCTTGAGGGTTTCAGTACTGAATGGACTCGGGTGCAGCTCAGACAGCAGCTCGTGCTCTTGTCAAGCTCCTCAATGTGGCTGAGCTTCTCTTTCTTCCTCAGTGAGTGAAGATATCACTCCCTCACTATGCTATAGGTAATAAGTGAGATCGTGATTTGTCAATTGGACAGCACAAGTGTCTTATGACTGTAACCTGTACTAGGAGTATTTCCTTTTCTTTAGAGTCAAGGTCTCACTCTGTCACTCAGGCTGGAGTTCAGTGGCACAATCAGCTCACTGCAGCCTCTACCTCCTGGGCTCAGGCAATCCTCCCACCTCAGCCTCCTGAGTAGCTAGGACTACAGGTGCACACCACCATACCCAGATAATTTTTTAAATTTTTGTAGAGACAGGGGTCTTGCTCTATTACCTAGACTGTCTCAAACTCCTGGCCTCAAGCAATCCTCCTGCCTCAGCCTCCCAAAGTGTTAGGATTACAGGTGTAAGCCATAGCACTGGCCTATTTTCATCTTTTCTTTTCTTTTTTTTGAGACAGTCTCTCTCTCTCACCAGGCTGGAATGCATTGGTGTAATCTCTGCTGACTGCAAACTCTGACTCCCCGGTTCAAGCGATTCTCCTGCCTCAGCCTCCTGAGTAGCTGGGATTACAGGCATGCACCACCATACCCAGCTAATTTTTGTATTTTTAGTAGAGACGGGGTATTGCCATGTTGGCCAGGATGGTCTCAATCTCCCGATCTCATGATCCACCACTTAACCTCCCAAAGTGCTGGGATTACAAGCGTGAGCCACCGCGCTTGGCCCCCATTTTCACATTAAAAATGAGTGTTGGGACAGGATTTAAGGTAAAGGAATTAATAAAATTAGTACTTACTACACGCCAGGACCCTTTCTAAATCCTTCACCTGTGTTAACCAATCCTCATAATAACACTATTAGGCAGATATAATTATTGTCATTCCCTTTTTTTTTTTTTTTTTTGAGAGAGATTGGGTCCTGTTCTGACGTCCAGGCTAGACTACTCACGCCTGTACTCCCAGCACGTTGGGAGGTCAAGGCGGGTGGATCACCTGAGGTCAGGAGTTTGAGACCAGCTTGGCCAACATGGTGAAACCCGTCTCTACTAAAAACACAAAAAATTAGCCAGGGATGGTGGCAGGTGCCTGTAATCCCAGTTACTTGGGAGGCTGAGGCAGGAGAATCACATGAACCCAGGAGGCGGAGGTTACAGTGAGTCAAAATCATGCCGTTGCACTCCAGCCCGGGCAACAAGAGCAAAGCTCCATCTCAAAAAAAAGGAAAAACAAACAAACAAAAAAACAATTCATATCTCAGTCAGTGGGGCACATTGAGAAATCAATGGCAGAAGGAAAATAGTTTCCAAGAATTCAAACTCCCAACCTAATGCTTTCCTAACAGCACTCTGGATAAAAATCAACTTACATAGAGTTGATCAAAACACTCCTATGCAGTTTTTCTAGAACCACCTTGCCATTCAAACCCTTGTCCAACTGCTGGACTAGAAAGGGAGCCAGAGATTTCAGCTAACAAAGGTTGCTGTTGATAGAAGCAGAGTGGGGAAGAGGAATAAAAAATGCAAGTGGAAAAACAGGAATCTAGACTTACAGATAAAACCTTCCCCCAAGATCCAAAGATTCCTGTTTTTGTTGAAAACTGCACTCACTTGGCAAGATCGGTGTAGGTAAATACGACTTTTGTTTTAGGAATAGTGTAGAAACAAGCAATTCACAAGGTTAGTGGCCGGTCTTGGCTGAGCAAACACACTTTAACACCTGTGTGAAGTGTGGCATGTGGGATCTGTCTGAGAAAGGGCCTTGTGCTGGGTTTACACACGGTCCTGTGTAAGAAAGGAAAAGTAGAATAGTCGTGTTCCCAGGGGAAAAGATGGGACCGTTTCTCGCTCCCTTCTTGTTTGTTTCAGAACCTGTCTTAGAGATTGGCCCTCATAACAATGTCTGGACTGCCTGAGCAGAAAGCCATCCGCTGGCACTGTCCATCTCACACCAGAGCCTCGATGCCCCCTGGAGCCCCCTCAAATGACCAGGTCCTTTTTCTCAAATTGGAATGCTTTAGGAAGCTACCCTCAAACTGTAAAAACAGGCAGCTTCCAGCTGTCCCCTCACTTTCCCTCCAAGCAGTGGTTTTCAAATTGTGTTCCAAGGAACCCTAGATTTCCCAACTGCCTGATTCGACTTCAATGAATGCTGTCAGGCTGATAAAAGCTTGTAATTTGCATCTTTAGACCTTGTTATCAAAATGTTTGTGTTCATCAGTATAGGGTCACGGGTCTTACAAATTAACTTTGATAATTGTTATATGTCAAACTATATAAATGTATACCTTTTAAATCTACTGTATCTACTCTTTATATTATAATCTTTTTTTTTTTTTTGACACTGAGTGTCACTCTGTCGCCCAGGCTGGAGTGCAGTGGTGTGATCTCAGTTCATTGCAACCTGCACCTCCCAGGTTCAAGTGATTCTCCAGCCTCAGCCTCCTGAGTAGCTGGGGTTACAGGTGCACGCCACCACGCCTGACTAATTTTTCTATTTTTAGTAGAGATTGGGTTTTGCCAGGTTGGCTAGGCTGGTCTCGAACTCCTGACCTCAAGTGATCCACCTGCCTCAGCCTCCCAAAGTGCTGGGATTACAGGTGCGAGCCACCACACCTGGCCTATATTATAATCTTGTATAAGCTTTCATTTAAAATTTTACCACTTTAAAAAAATGATTGAACCAGGCACAGTGGCTCATGCTGTAATCACAGCACTTTGGAAGGCCGAGGCAGGAGGATCACTTTGAGGCCAGGAGTTCAGGACCAGCCTGGGCAACACAGTGAGGCCCTGTTTCTACAAGAATGAAAAGATTCCAACCCGTTTCCTTAGCTTTCCTAATCCCTCTAGCTCTGAGCTTTTTCTTTTCACCATGGCACTATGGCACTTTTTACATCCTCACATACTATATAATTTACTATATATGGATCATCTATTTCTTTTTGTTTATTATCTCTCTTCATCCCACTGGAATGTAAACCCCATAAAAACAGGGACCTTTGTCTGTTTTGTTCACTGATGTACTCCAAGCACATAGAATAGGGCCTGGTGGATAAGAGAGGCTCAATAAATATTGATTAAATGATTTATTTTATTTTATTTTTACAGACAGGGTCTCACTCTGTCACCCAGGCTGTAGTGTGGTGGTGCGATCATGGCTCACTGAAGCCTCAACCTCCCAGTCCCAGTTGATCTTCCCGGTTCAACCTCCCAAAGTGCTGGGATTATAGGCTCACAACTTGGGAGGCTGAGGCAGGAGGATCGCTTGAGCCCAGGAATTCAAGACCAGCATGGACAACTAGCAAAACCCCTGTCTCTATAAAAATAAAAATAAAAAGTTAGTTGGGTGTGGTGGGGCACACCTGTAGTCTTAGCTACTCAGGAGGCTGAAATGAGAGGATTGCTTGACATGGGGAGTTTGAGGCTGCAGTGAGTCATGATTGCACCATTGCACTCCAGCCTGGGTGATAAAGTGAGACCCTGTCTCAAAAAAAAAAATTGACTAACTGATAATGGAGACATGGATTGGCAAGGGTATTCCAGGATCCAGAAAAGAAGGGTTTAAGAATTATCATCCTCCTTGGCCAGAAGGGTGGGTCTACTCCCTGGTTTCTCCCTGTATGTTTTGTTGGTACCCTCTATCCCCAAACTCTTCCCACCCTCAGGAACATCACCTGAGTATTTGTCGGGGTCACACTGGTGGCAAGAAGTTTCTCCTTTATTTGAGTAAGAGTTGGCCGGGCAAAGTTTGCAGAAAGAGGAGCCCTGCTTGTCTGCATATGTGCCGGGTTTGCAGGGGAAGCATTCTGAAGTGTAGGCCACACCTAGGGAGGAACAAGAGCACAGAAAAGCAAGGATTCAGCCTGGAGACTGAGCCCCCTGGAGACTGCAAAGTCAACAGCCCAGGGAGTCAGTAACAGACCTCAGATCCAACCCCGCTCTCAGTACCTGTTATGGCGATGTTTCTCACCAGCACAGGCTTGGACACTTTGGACCATACTGAGAAGGCTGTGGTTCTCCAATAGAGGACATTATTGCCTCGATTTAGCTCCACCTAAAAACCACAAACAGGAGCATTCGTTCACCACAGAGAAAACCCACTCCTCTGTTGATATAGCCTCTTGTTGGGATGACTCCTCTTCATATCTGCATGGTAATGCTTCTTCTGACCCTCTTCCTCTTCTTCCTCAGCTCTGCCCTTCCTCCCAACTTAGCACAGTTTCTCTGTTTCTAAACCTCCTCTTATAACCCTCCCAGCGTTCCCTGGATCATATATACCATGAGCATCTCTTACAGTGAGACCACTAAAGAGACCTGAACGTACTGACAATAGAGTGACTGGCACTCCCTCATTCTGTGGTTTTGCGGGGGGCAGCCCCCCTCCCCAGAAGATCCCAGTCTTGAAGCTGGAAAGCTGCTGGTCTTTGGAGTCAAGCCATAGGAGCAGCAAGTCAGCTCACACCCATATTCAGTCAACGCTGGAGGTCAGTAACTATAGCATCTTCATTATATCACACTCCTGCCCTCCAGGGGCATTGGGGTAGAGGCTCAGACTGGGAGGAAGCACTCTCTGAGGGAAGACCCTGGGTCCCTTTTCTGGGATCTCTGGGAGAAGGCTGGTGTGATGATACTCACACTGTGGAATTCCCATCCTTTCTCTGTGGTCTTCATCCACCTGGAGTCATCTGCGTTGGGCTGGCACTGGTCATTCTGAACCTGACACAAAAGAATTTGGGACCTAGTCTCAGCTTTCCAAGGAAATGGATACCTTTCCCCACATTGCACCAGCCCTCCAGAGGGCCCTTCTTTATATGAGAAGAGTTGCCAATTTCCTTCAGGGACTGAGCTCAGGACACATAAGCCTCAAAGTAGGGCAGGAGCTAGTCACACACACAATATGAGCGTGGACACCAAAGAAATAACTTGTCACTCGGATGTGCTTTTTTTATGTCTGAGCTGGATAAAACACCTAGAAATCTCCCAGACAATTCTTCCCCCAAGAGTCCTTTCACTTTCGCCTTTTCTCCTGGCCTTCTGGGGCCTCAGCTCATTTTGCCCACAGCTTTCTCCAGAGGGAAAACAATGGTGATTTCCCAAGCAGAGCTATGCTCATGATGGATTCCTCAAACGGATCGGAGCCCCAGAGAGTCTTTAGCTCCCACCCTCCACCTTGGCCAGGGGCTTACGAAAAACTCAAAGATGATGCTGGAGTCCGGGTAGTAGTATTCGAAGTTAACGGTGCCCGACTGCTTCAGGTTGACGGCATACATCAGTGTGGCTGTGCATTCGTCTGTGTTGGAGGCAATGTAGTCACCCCGGGGAACCCATCTGGACCTGCGAAGGAACAGGAACCAGGTTCACAGGCAGGAGCACAGCCCACCAGGCTTTGTGCCATGTACGGGTCTCACATTCTGCTGGGTCTTTGGGAAATTTCAGGCTTGTAATTGACAAGCTGAAGCTTGGACCTGAAAATGCTCAGTAAAGAAAGACAAAAGAAGCTGTCAGGTAGGTCAAGGACCTGGAGTACAGCCGAGAAGAGGAGGCAGACAGGCAAAGAAGACTAGCAGGCGTACCTCCACATCGTGCAGAACTACCTGGGATACAGGTGGCAGGTGAAGTGGGGGAGGGATGACTTTTTTTTTTATTTGAGACAGAGTCTCGCTCTGTCTCGCAGGCTGGAGTGCAGTGGCATGGTCTCAGCTCACTTCAACCTCCGCCTCCTCCTGGGTTCAAGTGATTCTCCTGCCTCAGTCTCCCAAGTAGCTAGGATTACAGACATGCACCACCACACCTGGCTAATATATATATATATATATATATATAGAGAGAGAGAGAGAGAGAGAGAGAGAGAGAGAGCGAGAGATGGGGTTTCACCATGTTAGCCAGGCTGGTCTCAAACTCCTGACCTCAAGTGATCCTCCCACTTCGGCCTCCCAAGGGGCTGGGATTACAGGTGTGAGCCACTGTGCCCGGTCGGAGAGAGATAACATTTATTGGTTGCTTACTACCTTCCAGGTATTGAACTATGTGCTTTATATGATTTCTTTTCATCAATAAGAGGAAACGTTTTTTTTTTGTTTAAGAGATGATGAAACTTGGGCTTGGAGAGTGCCAAGCCCAATATTACGAAGCCAGCACGTGGCAGGGCTGAGATCAGGGCTGCCCAACTCTAAAGCTGTCAAATAACTCAGTAGACAGAGTTATTCTTCAGAACTCAGACATCCACCCAGTCTAGTCCAACTGTTTTTCCAGAAATGTCCACTATAAGATGCTACATGTAAATTGTTTTTATGGAAAGGGGAGGGCCAGAGAACCCCAGAGACAGTCAACCTAGTCATGCGCTTTGTCTCCTAAATATGTGTTCACTCTATTCACCCTGTCCAGAGGCTGTCCCTTCGCTCACCACCACACCATCTATGAACCAGCCCCCAAACTTGTCTCCCTGAAGCCAGTCCTGCATCCTCCAAGCCCTCTCCCCACTGCAGTCCAGCAGACAGATCCTCCAGAACAGATGTCTGACCATGACACTCCCTTGCTTAGAATTAAAACCCCTGCTGGGCACGGTGGCTCACGCCTGCAATCCCAGCACTTTGGGAGGCAGAGGTGGGTGAATCACCTAAGGTCAGGAGTTCAAGACCAGACTGACCAACCTGGTGAAACCCCATCTCTACTAAAAATACGAAAATTATCCGGGCGTGGTGGCATGTGCCTGTAATCCCAGCTACTTGGGAGGCTGAGGCAGATGAATTGCTTGAACCTGGGAGGCAGAGGTTGCAGTGAGCCAAGATCACACCATTGCACTGCAGCCTGGGCAACAGAGCAAGACTGTCTCAAATAATAATAATAATAATAATTAAAACCCCTGTGACTGACTCCCTGTGGCCATTAGGATAGGGTACAAATTCCTGATCTTGTCTTTATATTCCAACCCTATGACATTTCTCTCAATTCCTCTGCCAAACTTTCTCTTACCTATGGGCCTCGTGACAGGCTCTTCCCTCTTCCTGGAACAAACTTCCTCATTTCTCTCTTGGTTTAATTCCTCCTGTGTCTTAAATGTCACCTAATCTAAGAAGTCTTCCCTGCTTCTGTCTGCTTCTGCTCTGGGTGCCTTTAGCTCTCTTTGCTCCCTTTCTCATAGCCATAATCCCATGATATTTTATTTATTTTTAGTATATTATGGACTATTTAAGACCTATAAAATGGTATAATGAGCACTCACCGACCCACCACCCTGCTTAAGAAATTCAAGGGCAGAAGCCTCTGTGTATCCTCCGCTAACCTCCTCACCTTTCCTGGAACACACTGCCTTCCCACTGCCAAGTGACCACTTTCCTGAATCTGGTGTTTAACCTGTGCATGTGGTTCTCTGTACGTATCTCGAAACAATATACTGCATGGTACTGCTTCGCACGTTGTAAAGCTTCACATAAATGGTGCCATATTTATGTGCTCTGAAACTCACTTTGGGAAGGGAGGAACTTCAATGCAATGATTGTGAGATGCATCTGTATTCACAGACACAGCTCTCTGGCTTTACCACTGCATAACATTCCTCTGTATGGCTCTACCGTATTTATTTGTGCATTACTTGTTGATGGACATTTGGATTGTTTGCAGTTTTGTGTGCACATTCTGCTATGTTCCCGTCTCCTTAGGCACATGTCTGAGTAGAATGCCTGGGAGGAGGACTGTATGTGAGCCTCCCATTTATTGGCTACTGCTACACCGTTCCTGTTGCTCCACATCCTCTCCAAATTGGAAACTGTCAGCCCTTAAAATTGTTGCCAATATTATGTGAGGGAAGAGGTCGAATTTACCTTGCTAACTAAAGTATTCCCAGCACCAACCTGAGCCTGGCACATAGCGGGAACTCAGAGGGTCGAACAGTTGAACATGGGAATGGGCGATCAAAGACAATCCCACTATTGCCCAGGTCTCCGGTTGCTTAATAATGGCCCGTTGGCTGGGCGTGACAGCTCACGCCTGTAATCCCAGCACTTTGGGAGGCTGAGGTGGGTGGCTCACCTGAGGTCAGGAGTTCGAGACCAGCCTTGCCAACATGGTGAAACCTCGTCTCTACTAAAAATACAAAAATTAGCCGGGCGTGGTGGCACATGCCTGTAATCCCAGCTACTCAGGAGGCTGAGGCAGGAGAATCGCTTGAACCCGGGAGGCGGAGGTTGCAGTGAGCCAAGATGGCGCCATTGCACTGCAGCTGGGCGAAAGAGGGAGACTCCATCTTAAAATAATAGTAATAATAATAATAATAATAATAATGGCCAGTTAAAGCAAACTGAGATTAGTCCACAGATTTCCCCCGTGTTTCCCAGAATAACATGGTTATTTCTAGCTCTTTGACGGTGTTATTCTCAAAACGGAAACATAACAGGAGCTCATCCACAACATCTCAGCTAACCTAACAGCATTGATTTCTCCCTGTTGAAAGAGATAACCTTTAATGCTGATGTGCTCCACGACATCAGCTATAAATAACTCCTGAAGTTTGATGAATAATTAAAAACATTTGCAAAACGCATCACAATTCTGATTTTTTCAGCGTTGTCCCCGGTGAAGACATTTCACGTTCAATAATAACAACATGTTTTGATTGATATCTAGTGTCAGGTATCGCTCTAAATTCTTTACAAGTATCATCTCATTTAATCCTTACCTCAACCTATGGAGTACTATTTTTATCATCATTCATCATTTTTAGGTTGAAGAAACTAAAAAGAAGCCCAGAGGTGCTTAGGAAACTTACCCTAAGTGTTCAAATGTCACAAGGTGGGGAAGGAGTGTGGTTGGAACACAGCAAGCGAAAACAGACAGTCCTTGGGAGAGGCTGAGGAAATGGGCAGACGGCAGAGGGCAGGGCAGCAGGGCCCTGAAGGCTGTGGGAAGGTAGTGGTCTTTATCCCAAGAGCAATTGGTAGCCATTGAATCTAGAGTTTTGAGCAGGAAAGTACTGTGACTGAATTTAAGAAGATGAGGCGCTCGCACCTGTAATCCCAGCACTTTGGTAGCCTGGGGTGGAAGGATCATTTGATCCCAGGAGTTTGAGACCAACCTGGGCAACATAGTAAGACCCTGTCTCTACAAAAAAATAAGAAGTTAACCAGGTGTGGTGGCATGTGCTGGAAGTCCCAGCTACGCGGGAGGTTGAGGTGGCTTCAGCCCGGGAAGGCTGAGGCTGCAGTGAGCTGTGATTGTACCATTGCGCTCCAGCTTGGGTGACAGAGTGAGACTTTGTCTCTGAAAAAAAAAGAAAAGAAAAGAAGAAAGATTAATCTGGCTGCTGAGTAGACAGGCCTGAAGGAGGCTGAGAATGGAAGCAGGAGACCAGCTTCGAGGCTCTTGAGGCAGAACAGGCAGGATTTGGGTAGCTGCACAGCTGAATAGGAAAGCCAAATCCTTGCGCTCTAGGTAGCGGCTCAATTATTGCCTTTCTGAGGGATGATGGGGAAACCACACAAACCTCTCCAGATGGCCATTTCCCCTCCACTGAGGGAGAAATATCCTTTCCCTCCCTCCCTCCCTCCCAGTGATGTCGTGGGATGCCTTAAGATGCAGGCCCTGATATAGTCCGTGCCGTGGAAATACAAGTTATTATTAACCCACCCACATCCTGCCTCACTGAGAGATAATGATTTCTGGACACTCGGTGCAGTCCCCAGAGAGAGATGAAATCCTTCCTTTACGTGGGTAGGAATTGACTGAGCCGGGTCTGCCCCTTGTCCAGGGCCTAATGACATTCTCCATTAGGACTCAAAGGGGGGTTGGTTGTCTTAACCCACACCTTCAAGTTCCTTCCAGCTCTAAAGCTCTCTAGCTTTATCTCTGCATCCAGTATTGTCATGCTAATGAATCTGACACATCAAATTGACTACATCAAAATTGGACTACAGATTAAATAGCTACTGCTTGGCTCAGACAAGATTTAAGACATTGTTCCCAGTTTTAGAAAACCAAGTGTAATACAATTATTGAGTCCTTCTTATTCATTTGATTGTTCGGGTATCAGAGAAACTTTCATTTACTTTCCTCCCGTATTTGCTGTCAATATTTAATAAGGAACAATAAGACTGCCTTTCACATCCTCATATCCCCCCACTTTCACTCCCTAGGACCCAATATTGCCTTGCCCATAATAAATGTTATTTGAAGGTGGCATTATAAGGCAGTGGAAACTCGGGCTTGAATTTCAATCTCGCCAGCTGTAAGCCGGATAACAAAGGGCAGGTCATAACCTCGCTAAGCCTCGGGTTCCTGTCTCTGTAATAGAAATAGTAATGCCTATTTCACAGGGTTCTTGTGAGAATTAGAGAAAATAATATATGTAAAGCATCCAAAATAGTGCCTGGCCTATAAAAGGCATATCTGAAAGAAATACCCAGTTCTCCAAGCACCCTGGGCTGAGCTTTTCAAGAAAATGCTCTGGTCATTGGGGTCTCACAGCATCTGGAAGATTTCAGCCAGCACTGAGCAAAGGCTAGGCAGAATCAGTTTTAGAAGTTAGCACCCAGGGTGGCTCCCGCCTATAATCCCAGCACTTTGGAAGGCTGAGGCAGGTTGGTCACCTGAGGTCAGGAGTTCGAGACCAGCCTGGCCAACATGGTGAAACCCCATCTCTACTTTAAAAATACAAAAAAAAAAAAAAGTAGCCAGGCATGGTGGCACACACTTGTAATTCCAGCTACTCAGGAAGCTGAGGCAGGAGAATCGCTTGAACCTGGGAGCTGGGGGTTGCAGTGAGCCGAGATCACTCCACTGCATTCCAGCCTGGGCGACAGAGTGAGACTCTGTCTCAAAAAACAAAAAAGAAGTTAGCATCCAACCCGGGAAGATACCCCAGCTTTGCATATTGTGTTCCAATCAAGCTGAGAAAGTCTATTGGCTGATCCGAAATTCTGTGGTGGAAATCCAGTTTTGGGTTTGTTTGTTGGTTGGTTTTTGTTTTTATTGAGACAGGGTCTTGCTCTGTTATCCAGGGGTACAGTGGTGTGATCACAGCTCACTTTAACCGTGAACTCCTAGGCTCAAGCTATCCTTTTGCCTCAGCCTTCTGAGTTGCTGGGACTACAGACATGCACCACCACACCTGGCAAAATTTTTAAACCTTTTGTAGAGACAGGGGTCTCGCTATGTTGCCCAGGCTTGTCTCAAACTCTTGGCCTCAGGCAATCCTCCCATATAAGCCTCTGAAAGTACTGGGATTACAGGGGTGAGCCACTGTGCCCAGCTCCAGTTGGGTTTTGTTTTAAATAGACTGAGCCATGTAAGCCTTGTCCCCCTTGTCCACTCTCCTATTTCCCCATGTCTCTTACCTCCCACAAATGCCTGTCTATCACTGGTAAGTTTAAATCAATGAGTGGGCCAGGCAGAGTCATATCCACTGCTCCTGTGGACACAGCTGCAGGCCTCACCCTGGCAGCCCGGCTGCCTCTTCCCTCCGTCCTCCCTGCCCAGCCCGAGGGGCAGTGAAGGAGGCTGTCCAGCGTACCCTGCAGCCTCTTCCGCAATGGGCTGGGGGCGGGGTGGGGGTGAGTGCAAACTCACGAAGTGCAGTTCTCGGTGGACTCAGCGGCACCGTCATCTATCTCCATGTTGGCTGAGAGGCTGGCAAAGCCATGGGGCAGCTCATCCCACTCATCAAACCGAATGCCTGTGCCCAGGGAGTAGCGGCCCTCAGCACATGGCTTACACGACTGGTCCTTCATATCCAGAAACTCCCCGGCATTGCAAGAGAAGGCTGGAAAACAGGGCAGAGACAAGGCAGGACAGTGAGGTCACTGCAGCCCCAGAAGTGGACAGGCTGTGAGCAGCTGAAGGAGAAGCTCAGGGTTGGAGTTTGGCCCACTAAGATTCAGGGCCATGGCATTTACTGTGTGATTTTGTTTTTCTTTAAAAAAAAAAAAGTTTTTTCAGCAGTGATACTCCTTGTTATGTGTGATTCTATTTGTATGGAATGGCCAAAAGAGGCAAAGCCATAGAGACGGAAAGTAGATTTGTGGTTGCCAGGGGCTGTGGGGAGGGGCCTGGGGAGCAATTGCTAATAATGTGAGGTTTCTTTGTAGGATGATTAAAATGTGAAATCAGAGTGATGATGGTTGCATGAATATTCAAAAAGCCACTGAATTTTATACTTAAAGGAATGAATTTCATGGCATGTAAATTATATACAAATAAAGCTGTTGTTTTTAAAAGATCTAGGGCCATGGATGCTCTGCCTTGCCGGGACTTTCGGCTTGTCCCTGGCACTCCTGTTTCCTTTGGAGAGGCGCCTTACCATTCTGAGAGCTCTCCAGTGAAAAGGATGCCAAGGTCTCTTGTGCTGATCCCTCTAAATGACACATGACTGTTCAACCTTAAATTTCTCCCTTGAGCCTCTGGCCTCTGCCTTTCTAGTTGTGCTGCCACCATGCTAGGTGGGATTCTTATTACCTTTTAACTCAGCCATTGCAACATCCTTCTAACTAGCTTCCTATTCTTATTTCTGATCATTTTGTGGTCAGAGGTGCCTTTCTAAAACACTGGTATGATCAGGCACAGTGGCTTATGCCTGTAAACCCAACACTTTGAGAGACCAAGGCAGTAGGATCACTTGAGCCCAGGAGTTTGAGGCCAACCTGGAAAACATAGTGAGACCCCGTCACTATAAAAAAATTATTTTAATTAGCTGGGAGTGATGGTGTGTGCCTGTAGTCCTAGCTACTCAGGAGGCTGAAGTGGGAGAATTGCTTGAACCCAGGAGGTCAAGGCTGCAGAGAGCTATGATTGTACCACGGTACTTCAGCCTAGGAAACAGAGTGAGACCTTGTCTTTTAAATAATAAAAACTAAAACACATATGTACTATTATTCTCCTTATTTCAAAAATAAACTGCCACTCCCTTTTGGTTCTAGAATTATGCTCTTGGCCTGGCATTCAGAGTTCTCCACAATTTCCCTCCAGCCTAACTTTCCAGCTTGACCTCTCACGACAGATCTTTTTCCACTTCAACCCCATCCATCCCCTTCTCCGTGTTGCCTCCACCCTGGACCACAAGCTCTTCCTCAAATGCGTCACTGTTCATCCATGTCTAAACTTTTGCTCAAGCGGTCCTCTCAGCTATGCCTAATCCTAAATATTCATAATGCTCATTCTTTCTCATATCTTATATGTCTGCCACCCACTAGGCTCTGTTCCCCTCCGGGGATGGCTGGCTCAGTGACTGGCACAGACTGGGAGCTTCACGAATATTTCTGAAACGAGTGGATGAATGAAAGTCTGCACTTTCCACCACCCTAAGCTTCTAAAGCAGGGACTGTGCTTCATTTGTCTTTGCAGTTCGCACTGCGTGTGCACATCATGGCACTTACACACAGTGGGACTCACTAGAGTCAGCAGAGCTCACTGAAGATGGCTCATTTGTTTCCACTAGTCAGTCACGCCTTGGTTCTTTCTTTTTGAGACGGAGTCCCCCTCTGTCACCCAGGCTGGAGTACAGTGGCACTAACTTGGCTTACCACAACCTCTGCCTCCCAGGTTCAAACAATTCTCCTGCTTCAAGCCTCCTGAGTAGCTGGGATTACAGGTGCATGCCACCACGCCCAGCTGATTTTTGTATTTTTAGTACAGATGGGGTTTCACCATGTTGATCAGGATGGTCTCAAACTCCTGACCTCGTGATCTGCCTGACTCGGCCTCCTAAAGTGCTGGGATTACAGGCGTGAGCCACTGCGTCTGGCCCACACCTCAGTTCTGCTCACATCTCAGCAATATCCAGTCATTAATTTTATAAGTATTTATTTGCTCACTTACTCAACCAGGCACTGTACTAAGCTGATTTTAGAATATAAATGTCGTCAAACTCCTTTCCAACTCTTCAAATAATTCCTTAAATCTACTGCCTGGTTTTTATTGTTATTCCCTTTGCATTCCTAAAAGAAGAATGCAGGGAACAGCTCCCAACTGTAGAAAAGTTGTGACTGCGGAGTCACAGAGGTGGGGTCTGCGGCAAGTCACTGCCTTTCTGTTCGCACAATCAGATCCACAGTCGGGAAGATTCCTGTCCCCGGAAGTGATGCCTGTAGCATGTTAAAGGATGTCTCTGCAGAGACTTAGCCTCTCTGACTTCCTTTTTAAGAACGAAAGCAAATCTCAGACTTCCCTAACGACTGATTGTGGCTGGTGAGTGAGTGTAGATTGGAGAGACACACACAGGCAAAAAAGAAAATGTATGTGCACAGAAAAGAATATCTCAGTGCACACAGCTGGCACTGCTTACGCCGTATCCACTGATGGGATTTAAATTCCTTTTAAAAATGAAAGCAAATTCAGATATCCAGTTTGCATTCATGAAGTACTTCTGCGCAAAATCTCATAAGGGATGGGGAAAAGATCTGATTAATGCAGCTGCTCTGCCAGGAAGGGCCTAAAGTGGATGGCAGGAGACTTGGGGGAGAGACCAAAGCTGAGTGACAGGGAGGCCCTGAGCAGGACAGCTGCTTACAGCACTCGGTGCCCTTGACGGGGTCGGGCAGGCTGGTGCACAGGCCCGGGGTATGCGGCACGGCGACCCTCCACCTGGAACCCGTGCTGTCACACGCGGTGTACTCATAGTGGTACTCAGACTGCAGGGGAGAGAACAGTGGGCAAAATGTGCATTAGCAGTGATCAGACATTAACAGCTTCCCACCCACTTCCTGCCCAGCACCATGGCTACTAATGCTCCTCCTCTCGGAAATGGGCCCTGGAACCCCTGGCAGGGAGCTGATGATGAAGCGAGTGCAAGGACTACAATAATTTGGATCCTTCCTTTCCACCCAGCCATGGTCTAGTCCCTAGAAATACATCTTTGTGGGTGACTCTCTTTGTTGTTATGTTTAAGTAGTGTCCTTATGGAACAGAGGAATGTGGGAAGGTAACTAAGGAACAGGCTAGAAATAGGTGGAGTTTTTCTTATCTCAAAGTGTAGAATTTATGAATGAGGACATTCTAAATGGAAGGATGTTCTCAATTGAAACCTTGGTCCACCAAAAATGTACAAGGGCTCATCACAGAAATGGTATTTCTATTTCTCTGTGTTTCTTTTTCTTTTCTTTCTTTCCTTTTTTTTTTTTTTTTATTTTGAGACAGAGTTTCACACTGTTGCCCAGGCTGGAGTGCAGTGGTGGGATCTTGGCTCACTGCAGCCTCTGCCACCCGGGTTCAAGTGATTCTCCCACCTCAGCCTCCTGAGTAGCTGGGATTACAGGTGCCCACCACCACACCCAGCTAATTTTTTGTATTTTTAGTAGAGATGGGGTTTCACTGTGTCGGCCAGGCTGGTTTCGAACTCCTGACCTCATGATCCACTGGCCTCGGGCTCCCAAAGTGCTGGGATTACAGGCATGCGCCACTGCACCTGGCCTCCCTGTGCTTCTTATGGGTTCCTTTCCTATCAGAAAGACTATGAATTCCCAATTACATTTTATGACTATATCATTTGGCTGAAGCAGGTCATGTGCCTTCACGTGAGCCTGTTCATTCCTAATTTGTCTGTGCAAAAGGAAACTCATAGTTTGTTTTACCTGAGCTAAAAGCAAATGGAATAACAACAAAACAACCAAATCAAGCATTAAATAGAACAACAACAAACTTTCGCTCAGAAGAAAGAAAACACAACTGATGTGCCAAATGCCCTTGAGCGTGTCTTCCTCTTAAATCTGGTAATAAACAACGGACCATGGAATTAGTGATGATTTTGCCTCTGACAAGTATTTTACAATCTGCACTTACCTAAGACTATATTCAAGCTCGGAGGTACTTTGTATCACTATATCCATAAGAAAAATGGAATGAATGTCCCCCTTTAGCCCACATGAAAGCATGATTGCATAACATGTATAACAGCAAGGAGCTGAGACTAAAAATAAGACAGTTTTGAAGTTTGCGGCCGGGACATGGCTCACACCTGAATCCTAGCACTTTGGGAGGCCGAGGCAGGTAAATCAAGAGGTCGGGAGTTCAAGACCAGCCTGGCCAAGATGGTAAAACCCTGTCTCCACTAAAAATACAAAAGTTAGCTGGGTGTGGTGGTGGGTCCCTGTAATTCCAGCTAATTGGGAGGCTGAGGCAGGAGGATCACTTGAACCTGGGAGGCAGAGGCTGCAGTGAGCAGAGATCGTGCCACTGCATTTCATCCTGGGCAACAGAGTGAGACTCTGGCTCAAAAAAAAAAACATCGTGTCTTAGAAGCAGTGGCGTTTCACACTTGTTGTAATACAGTATAGAAGTAGTTTCTTTTCTCTTGTTCTTTTTCCTTTTTTTAGAGACAGGCTCGTGCTCTGTCACCCAGGCTGGAGTGCAGTGGCGTTATCATGGCTCACTGTAACCTTGACTTCCTAGGCTCAAATGATCCTCCCATCTCAGCTTCCCAAGTAGCTGAGACTACAGCTGCCGCTACGTGCACCACCATATCCAGCCAAGAGATTAACTTTTAACCAGAATCCTTGGCTTTGGATGTAGATGTCAATATCATCTAGAAAAGAAAGAACATCAGGATGGGAATTCTTTGTGCCCTTGGGCTACTATCTCTCTGGGTCTATTTTTCCTAATAATTCTTGTCTTTCCTTCATCTCAGAGGACTCTGAAGATAAACAGGGCAACTATACATGTCTAATGTCAATCCACTTCTAAAAAGGATACTCTCAAAAGGATTTTGCTGCAAGAATGAGGGGTAAAATCCTCTGTGTGTAAATTAAATGGAGAAAGGAGTGAGCAAGGCAGGAAGGACTGCGTTGTGCTTGTGAACATAATCATGCTGGTCTTTTGTGCAGTGTGTTCAGTTCCCAAACACCATCTTGTTTGATCTTCACAACTCCCTGTAAGGTAAGTAGAGCAGGGGTTGCTTTCTTCATTGTACAGATGATAAAACAGACTCTCAATGGGGTGATAGCTTGTCCAGGGTCACACAGCCTATAAGCCACTGAGCTAGAAACCAGGCCTTCCCACCAGCAATCCTCCTCCACCCTTATAGACTCTAACCAAACACAAACTCACACAGGGCCAAATTTAACAACCAAATCTAAAAATTAAATATGACCATATTGGTTGTCTGCCAGCCACTAGGCTCACTTCTGAGGCCTGAGAATTGGTGTTAAAATATCTAATCTGTTCGAAGATCACTTCAGTTCATTCTCACTGCATTTGGCCTCTTGGAGGCACCCATTACTTCTCTATTTTATTTTATTTTATATTTTAAGAGACTGGGACTCGCTATGTTGCCCAGGCTGGAGTGCAGAGGCTATTCACAGACGCTATCCCATGACTGATCAGCACGGGAGTTTTGACCTGCTCCGTTTCCGAGCTGGGCTGGTTCACCCCTCCTTAGGTAACCTGGTGGCCCCCTGCTTCCTGGTGATCACCATATCGATGCCAAACTTAGTGCACACACCCGATCGGCATACCGCACCACAGCCCAGAACTCCTGGGCTCAAGAGATCCTCCCACCTCAGCCTCCCGAGTAGCTGGGACTACCGGCACGCGTCACCATGCCCAGCTACTTTTCATCATCTTTCATTTGATGTCCCCAGAGCCCCACTCAGGTGGAAGGTTTGCTGAGAAAATGGTGGTTCCTAACCTTAGAAAATTTCCCTTTTCTAAGTGCCTATAATCCCAGCACTTTGGGAGGTCGAGGCGGGTGGATCACGAGGTCAAGAGATCAAGACCATCCTGGTCAACAAGGTGAAACTCCGTCTCTACTAAAAACACAAAAATTAGCTGAGCATGGTGGTGCATGCCTGTAGTCCCAGCTACTTGGGAGGCTGAGGCAGGAGAATTGCTTGAACCCAAGAGGTGGAGGTTCTGGTGAGCCGAGATCGTCCCATTGCACTCCAGCCTGGGTAACAAGAGGGAAACTCCATCTCAAAAAAAAATAAGAAAGAAAAGAAAATTTCCCTTTCAACATGTGCTCATTTACTTCATGCCACTTGGGGATATTTACATCATTCAAGGTGGCTGGCCCTAACATACCTGTTTTAAATCTGAACTTTCCTTTGAGATTACACCATTCAAGACATAAGTTTAGGTCTGGGCATGATGGCTCATACCTGTAATCTCAGCACTTTCGGAGGCTTAGGTGGGTGGATCACCTGAGGTCAGGAGTTTGAGACCAGGCTGGCCAACATGGTGCAACCCTGTCTCTTCTAAAAATACAAAAATTAGCTGGGTATGGTGGCACGTGCCTGTAATCCCAGCTACTCAGGAGGCTGAGGCAAGAGAATCTCTTGAACCTGGGGGTGGGGGGCAGGGAAGGGGGCGGAGGTTGTAGTGAGCTGAGATGGTGCTGCTTCACTCCAGCCTGGGCAAAAAAGCGAGACTCTGTCTTAAAAAAAAAAAGACATAAGCTTAGAGAGAGTTACATAGAGGATAGAACTGGCAGGACTCCTCAATTATATTCAATGATCTGTGAATACATTAATTCCCTGACAGTACCTCAGCTTACTCTGTGATCTGTCTAAAAGTATATAGTCTGCATAAAGTACAGGTTTGCAAAGGGGCACATAAACACATTCAGTATGTACATCCAGCATGCAACTCCTTCTCCTCCTGGTGCACAATTCTGTGACGCACACTCAAATTATACTGCTAAATGGGACACAGCAGGCAATGGGTGCTGCCTGTTCATCAGGGAAATAAAGGGAGGCTTTAGAAAAGAGGGGGTGGGGACCCTTAGTTAGTGCATCCTTCTCTAGTATTGCCCAGCCATGTAACACTCCTGGGCACATGAGAAGGAAGAGCAAAAATCCTGAAACTGGAATATGCTTTGCCGGCATTGACTTATCTGTCGGTAACACTGATCGTCAAGCTCCAGAAGAATTCGCTCAGGCTCACAATATTTTTAGTCCTTACTGTTTAGCTACTGAACTGCTGAAATGACCAAAAAAATAATAAGACTGTCAAGTCAGGGTGGTACCTGGATGGAAATCTGTCCTTCCTTCTACCTTCCCACCACTTACAAGCCAGGAACAGTGGCCCATGCCTGTAATCCCAACACTTTGGGAGGTCGAGGCAGGTGAATTAACTGAGGTCAGGAGTTTGAGACCAGTCTGGCCAACATGGTGAAATCCTATCTCTACTAAAAATCTAAAAATTCGCCCGGCGTGGTAGCACGTGCCTATAGTCCCAGCTATTCAGGAGGCCAAGGTGGCAGGATCGTCTGAGCCCAGGAGGTTGAGACTGCAGTGAGCCTTGATTGTGCCACTACATTCCAGCCCAGATGACAGAGTGAGACCCTGTCTCAAATTAAGAAAAGGAACTGTTTAGAGACTAGAGATTGGCGGTAATTTATGGGTTAGATGCTAGAGCTGTACTTCATTACTATCCACTGTGGAAGATGGATAAGGTTTAAGCTGATTAGCTGATGGCACAGATGTGGTCCACAATTCCGGTGGTAGGAGGGTCCCAGGGACTGGATCAGCCTCTTTCGTGAGCCCTAAGTAAATTGGCAAATTAGAAGTGATCCCACCACCCCTTCCCACAGGGTGCTCAACTTCCCTAAGCCTTAGCTGCCTCATTGAAAAATGAGGATATACAAACCCTTCCATCATAGAGGGGCCGGGCTACTGTATACAGCTGTGTGGGCTATTCA